GACGCAGCAGTGTAGAGAAGAGCCGTCTGGAAATGGGCATCCAGCTTCGGGTCCAGCTTGCCGTCGTAGCTAAAGGAAACACCGAGCGCCTTGTCCGCATCGATGACTCCAATTTCTAAATCGGCGCCAAAAGTATGCTGGACGAAGTTGCCATGGTACCCCTCCACTTGCAGTCCATTCGAACAACGGACCTTCATGAGCGCCTGATAACCTGTTTCTCTCGTAACGGCATGCGTGATCTCCAGTGACAGCTTGGCGCCATCTCGCGGAGAGATGAAGTTGGGGTAGTAGAAAGTCTCGCCACCAGTTGTTGCAGCAACATGGCCTATGGTGGCAACGTCCAGATAACCGCCAGACGGTGCAGCAAGGAAAAAGTCGACACCAATTCCTGAGGAAGTCATCTTCTCGGAGACTTTCTTCCAAGCAGGGTGCTCCGTCGTGTACAGCTTCTTGTCCAGCTCGCCACCAGGGTGGTTGCCATCATCACGCATGAACAGCCTACCGGGGCCCCAAGTAGGCAAACTGGAGCAGGAGCAAATTACCTTGCCTCCCGTTGCCTCCAGCGCTGCCACAGCAGCGTTGAGCGTAGCAAGCAGAGCAGGTTCTGGGTTTTTGATGGTAGAAAACATCTCAGGGAGACGAGTTAGCAGAGAGGTGATGATGGCTTTTGATTCATAGGGATCGACAAAGAGTCCCTCGCCAAGAGGAAGGAATGGATCCTCTAAATCGGGCATAATCATCATATGCGCCTGGTCTAGTTGTGGCTAGATTTCCAATGTCAACAAGTCGATATAAAATCGTTCAATCATTTAGTATTATCCCACTTACGTTGATGTTGTAAAAATGAATGTCCTTGTCGTATGTGATGAAGCCAACTTTGGCTCCCTCGGGTATCCTTCGCTTCGGCTCATTGTTCTCGTCTTTCTCCTCATCATCTCCTCCGTACAAGGCAGAGAGAATACCTTCGCAGAATGTCTCCAGGAAACCCTTGTTATACGATTCTTGAGTGACATCGATGACAAACAACCACCTAAGGCCGACCGGCTCTCTGGTCCAGTACTCCTTGGGAACAACAAACTCGACAGTACCGCGGTGAAGCTCTGGTCGTTGATCTCGGTCTAGCCGCACTCCTTGAGGGCTGATGGCGCAGAAATACTCTGGCGGCGTGTCGTTGGGGTATGAGCAAAGGTTGCACACAAACTTATTGCCGCCAGATCGGAACATCATGAACGGGTTGATGTAGGCTCGACATCTTCGGCAACGTGGCGGGCCGGCTTCTCCATAGTCAAGGACAGGGATTTCTGCTTCGCCGGCCTGGAGAGGAGCCAGGGGTTGAATGAGCATGCCAAGAGGCAGACCGGTTGCGTGGAGGCCCTCGGACGTTGTTGGAATATTGTTTAGCGTGAGTCGAGTATATTTAGGGGAGGAATTGCCCTGGTCAAAAGCTACGAACGAGACTGTTGCAGGAGGAGGAACATGGCGCTCAAATGTCGGGTACACATTCTTGAAGAAGTGCTGTTGGATCGAGTCTCTTGCCGCCGGTACACTGGGCATGTCGTCTGCCGAGAGCTGGCCGCCGGAGCCCGCAGGGCCCGTGGGTGGCCCGATGGGTTCGTCGTCGTCGTCGGCAGTGAGATAGCGTTCGGCAAATTCGTGTGACGATGCAAGGTTTGCGGGAGAGAATGGAGCTCCGACAGGCACCGGGAATTGGTTTGGATTGGCCATCTGAGGCGTCGGCATGGGGCTTGCCAGAGGACTTGCAAATTGCCCCCCGAGAGCCGGAATGCCCTGCGGGTTGTTGACATTGAGGAACTGCTCGGTAGGCGTTCCTGGTGGCAATCCATTGAAGGCCTGTGACGAGCCAGTCGGCTCAACGGTATGGTAGGCGTGCCTATCCTTCTTCTTCTTCCTTGCGGAAGCGGCACCCCCCGCATCGGCGCCCAAGTTCATCCCCCCAAACTGCGCTGCAAGGGCACCATCCTGCGGTGCCATTGGAGATCCAGGAAAGCTCTGCGGCGGACCATAGCCAGGAGTCTGCGGCGCGAAGCCTGGGGTCATTGGCGGCCCATAGCCTGGAGTAGTCGGTGGCCCGTAGCCGGGAGTTCGCGGCGGCGGCATGCCCAGGTGAGCTCCATACTGGGGAGCGCCGAAGGCTGCCTGAGGTGCATATGGCGATGGAGGAACCGGCTGCTGGAACTGCTGAGGAGCCGGAGCCGACGTCTTGTTGGGATCGTTGGGATCGAGGGGCTCGCCGTGGCCCAGCGCGTGATACTGAGTATAATCCATTGTTGTTGTGTGGAAGTGGCGATATCAGAACGAGCATGCGCCTACAAAAAGCTGGCAAAACGAGGGGTCTGTTGCGAGACAAGCGCAGAAGAGGCAGAACCAACAAAGCAAAGTAAAATAGGTCAGTGACTTGTAGACAAGCTCAGGAACGCTTCCATGATCCTCATCCACAAGGCCGGCTCGCAAAAGGTCGTGAAGCTGGAAAGCGCCCTCACGGTCTAATGAAGCTGTTCCTTGCCTCGGTGGCCTTTTCGCGACTTTCTACAATCGTGGCTTCAGAACCTCGTTGCCGCTTGTCCTTGATTGGCTTAGCCGGCCTCTGAGCTATCAGTGGCTTATCGGTGCCTATCGCGGCAAGGGGCTTTGCCCCACATGCATGTACAGAGCATCGATCGCTGTATCGGGTCTCTCTCTATGAACCGCTAGTCTAGCCACTCTGTGTAAGTCGAAAGATGGAGACGGTCTAGGGAGAGGGTCATATATACAAAAAAGCGAAGGGTCGGGCTTGAAAAACGCATGAGGTATGCGGCCCCTAGCAGCGGCGGAAGGTTTCGTGGAAAAGCTTTTTTTCTTCCATGGACCATTATATGCTTTTCACTGACGGCTAAGCGACTGTCCAATGGCTAATTTAAGAATACACGTGCGTGGACATGTATATAGCAGGACGTTGGGCCAATCCGCTGCAGGTTGGGTTATATTGCATGATAAGCACATACAGACGCGCTTTTGGATTCGCAGAACTCTGTTTTTTCCGATGTAATTTTTTTTCTCTCTCTCTGTCTCTTTTTTTTCGGGGCAATTTGGAATTGATAGCAGCACTAAAAGCACTATCAATTATAAATTTGCAGGTGCCCTGGTGACCGGATTGGTGTGCCTTGCTTCGTCCACGGAGCGCCACAGTCACCAAGCAGGACATGATTCAGGCATCTGTGAGGCATATGTGAGCCATCATTCGACAGCAGGCCCTGCACCAGGCCCTTCCCGATAGGTCGCATACATGGAAGAGACAGGTGTCCCTATCCGACCGAGTACTGGCAATTGGTTAACTGTCTACTCCTGCAAGATGAATTGTTTGGTCCTCCCGCTGCGGGAGCCGTGGAGCAACCGGGCGTGTTATTGGCGGACAGCAGCGTATAAGACGTTAACAAGTCAAGCAGGAGTCTGCATCAATGCCTAGCACTCCCGCAATTTGAAAAGTGATTGATTCAAATAGATGAAATCCGAAGAAGCTGTCTGTCTAGGTTGGGCACAGCTGGTGAAAGTGGTTGGGCTACGTGTTGTGGCAGAGTGGAAGTGCGGGGATCGCAGAGGTGATGACGGCGTCGCGCCAGGTGCCAGATACTGTCGCAAAACAAGGTATAAAACAGCCATTTGAACGAGGAAAAAAGGAAGTCGTCTCATTTAAAGCAATGAAATGTTCGATGCCGCAATAAAATATGCATGCTGGTGTTGTTATGCGTCGCTATGCGGCCATATAGGCTGCTGGGTGGTCATTGGACCCTGGAAAGGATGACATGACATGGTGCAACAATCCGGAGCTACGAAGCCGCGGCGCAAGAGTGTAGCAGGACGTAATTTGAAACTCGGGAGGGATGAAATAGAGCGGAAGAGCTGCCATGGCCCAGCGGAAATGAACAAACGCATCATGGCAAAAGAATAGTTGGAGATATGATCTCGAGAGTGGCAAATGTGAGATGGTGACTGAACCTTCGGTCGCATGACCATCCGCCACTCCGGCCGCGGGCAGTTTTGGAATCGCAGTAACTCACCGCACAAGTAGGCCAGAGCTATACAAAAAGATGAAATCAATTCACAGTTTACCCAAGTTTATGCTAGAAGCAAAAAAGACAAAATTAAAAGGGCTGTTGTGAGGCTGTGTGGCGAAAAAGTGTTGCGACGGCGATCTCTGGATAGCTTCACGGGTGCATCGTCAGCGACCGGCGCGACACACGGTCAAAAAAGTGACTTTGACTATCAACGGCAAAAGAGGCACCAAGACGAGCAGGAGTCGGAATAAAAATAGCACTGGCGAAAAGCCCAAGAAACAAGCATTCACAATCAGCCATTCACGGGGTCGCGAACGGGGGGTGCCGTCGCGCAATTCAGAATGCGACAACGACCATAGGGCGAGCGACACCTTGGACCATCAAACGCAAACCACGTCTCTGGCGATGACCCGCCGCCAAAACGCAGCGCTTACAACATACAATACTACGGCCGCATCTGGGATTCCTGACGTCAAAGAGCGCGGCAGATGAAAGACCAGTTCTAAAAATGACTCACTGGACAAGGCAAAGGAGGGTCGCAGGCAAAAAATGCGAGCAGAAAAACAAAGAGAAGAGAGGGACAGGAATTCTGGCAACGTCGAGGTTTGGGGGGAGCGGTCGAGCCTCAGATCAGAGGTCGAGGTACACGGCGGACGAGGTGATGTTGGCGCTGGCCAATCAGAAAATTGGTCACGAGGCAAGGGATTATTTTCGCAGCCGAACTGGCGTCGATTTTTACTTTGGAAGCATAACAAGACTTGTGGGGCGCGCCAGAGGTAGGGACTTTGTACCGGTACATCCGAACCGCAAGGTACCGGAGGACGACAATGCGGGCCATTGCTTTGGGCAGCCCTTTTTTTTTTTTTCCCTTTTTTTCCCTTTCTGTTTTCCGAAATAGTTGTCCCCCCTCCATTTCCTCGCTTTGTTTCTTCTTTGAGCAGCATCGCTATGCTTGTCCTTGCTCCTTTGTGGTGTGGCCGGACAAGGACGGGAATAAATCTTCTCATCGTACACCGGTCGAAGCTGAGCAAGCCGGATCAGAGAGTTTGGAGTTGGGATAATGGAGCTCTTTCTCCAGCGCAAAAGAAGTGGAAAGTTTCTTTTCTTTCACACCATGGTGCTGGTAAAAGAAAAATTAGCTTGGACGCTGTGCTGGCACCATAAAAAGGACGCCGGCAGGGTATTAGTTAGACACAATAGAGTAACGGCAGAGAGCGCGCGAGAGAGAAAGAGAGCGACGTGGTGGTGGGTGGTGGGCGTGCCAAGCTGCTCGATGCGATGTGTACATGGATGGATGGCTGGCACCGCAGATGGTCAGAAAAGCCATCCAAAGTGCTAAGATTTGGCTTGCGCAGGATCGCTTCCCGGCCGGGGAGAAGAGGGGCGCTGCCACGCTTGGCTTGTACCGGTACTTGCGCTAGAAGGCGGCCTCGAAGCAGCAACGCAGGTGTGCCGCCGGGATCGCGGCCAAACAAAGGCCAGCGCTGTAGGTGTGGGTGACGGTGACGACGAGGGTCTGGCCACTGGCCCGCTGGCGGGGGCTCCACCAGAGCTCTAGCGGCCTGGAGGTACATGCTGCCGTGGCTTTGTGGCAGACAGGGGACCAGCTGCCCGCCCAGAGCTGCGAAGCTAGCAGCGCAGAGCTCAGGACCTACTGATTGCGGCGCTGCCCCCGCCCCGTATATAAACAAGCCCCATCGCCCTCCCACGCGCCCGACGAGTTGTCGGTTCCCGCTGTCTCTGCTCCTCGACCTTCATCGCTCGCAATCTCCAGTCGCGTCTCTCAATCACAGTCGAACACGTTCGCCCGTACATCCACACCATCCATCCATCCATCGCCATGCCTCCCAAGAAGTCCGAAGGCGCTGCTGCCCCCAAGGCCAAGTCTGGCTCTACTCACGCCAGCTACCAGGTTCGTAGCCGTCGGCCGCATGCCGGCATCACCTGTTTCTTTACCACTTTTGTGCGCGCGCGAGGCTAATGCGAGGACTGCAGGACATGATTACCGATGCCATTGTTAATGTACGTTGGCACAGCCCTCTGTTGCACAAGCGCTGTTGTCTGCGCCTTATCTTCTCCCTCCCTCCCCCTTCTCGTCTCACTGGGCAAGCTGTCTTGTAGCCGCTTTGCTGTGCCCTTTTCATTTCCTTTGATTTCATCTTGTCACATCACATCACCTCATTCAGTCGTCGCGTAGTATTTCACGTCGATTGGCTTATTGGGATTCACCGCAAACGATTGGTGAAGAATAAAAAACTAACCCGCTCTTTTTCGCACTCAAACAGCTCAAGGATCGCAATGGTTCTAGGTAAGGAATCCCAATGACTCTTATTTTCCCCCAACTGTCCTAGCAAAGCAATTCGGGGCAGTGTACAGAGACAAAAGTAACTAACATGTTGCCACAGCCGTCAGTCTCTGAAGAAGTATGTCAAGGCCAACAACACTTTGAACGTTTCGGACAACATGTTCGATTCTCTCTTCAACAAGGCCCTCAAGGCCGGTGTTGAGAAGGGTTTCTTCGCCCAGCCCAAGGGTCCCTCTGGAGGTACCAAGCTGGCCAAGAAGAAGCCCGAGGCTAAGAAGGCTGTTGCTCCCAAGAAGGAGAAGGACGCCTCTGCTAAGAAGGCCACTACCACCAAGAAGGCTGCCGCCCCCAAGAAGGCCAAGGAGGGCGAGAAGAAGGAGAAGAAGGAAAAGAAGGAGAGCACTACCACTAAGAAGGCTGCCGCTCCCAAGAAAGCTGCTGCTCCCAAGAAGGCCAAGGAGACTGCCACCAAGGTATGTTCATAGATTCACATTCATCTTTGTCCCTATTCTAACTCCCAAACCCCCCTTCAGCCCGAGAAGCCTGAAACCGTTCTGACCAAGACAAAGTCCGGCCGTGTTGCCAAGGCCCAGAAGCCCGCTGCCGCCACCAAGAAGGCTGCACCAAAGAAGGCCGCCGCTCCCAAGAAGGAGAAGGCCGCCGCCGCTCCCGCGGCTGCTGCTGTGAAGGCGTAAATGTAACCTATCCTTCGCGTGAAGCAAAAGCGGCCTTTATTTTACTTTCTTGTATCCTTGATGAATGTGGCACGGCGTTTTTGGGGCTTGCAATTTATTACTACGGGTCGGGCAAAGGAGAGCCTGGGTTGGCTCGGGATTGATTGATTGCTGTTTTTGGCGGTGCGCAGGAATGATGTTTGTTTTGATACGCGCAATCTCAGACGCGCTGGGCCTGGCATTATCGCACTATATATGTGACTTTCCTGGAATGAGCCTCCCAGTGGGGGGGCGGATCATTTATACTATTTACTATTTTTTTTCCACATTACTATTTTCGCCTACCCTTTTTTTCTCTCTCTCTTTTTCTCTGCCTGTGAATTTTTTTTTTTTTTTTTTTTTTACCTTCTCTTGGCGCGATTTCAATTTTCATCGGTGGGGAGGTTTATGGGTTTATTTGAAAGAAAAGAGGAACAACGGAGCAACGTCTGAGGAGTTGATGCGCGCGACTCTACAAACTTTTTTCCTCGACTTATTTTGAGAGTATATTACCTGGCGTATATAATTATAATCCTAGAAAAAATCAAAATTTATAGTAATATTTGAGAAATGGGGGCTTCATTTTTAATTTTGTTTCTTTTTTTACAGCCTAGAGATGGCGAATAAACTGTGTTTTAGGTGTAGGTATTTTTCCAAGCCTCCAGATAAATACGTAATTGAGCGAAATTCTAATTTTTTTTTTTTTTTTTTTCTTTCTTCCCCTAGCTTTATTATTGAGACTTAGGACTTAATCAAGCAGGCTACACGCGTAGCGAGGTATGGGGCACATAAATTGAGACTCTCACTACCGCCGTAAGGTAAGATTTAATGGTGAGATGCGTGTAAGACATAATTCAGCGCAGAGGCTCCTCCTCTGTTTACGGCATGGGTATTGCCGAATCTATCGTCTATAAGCAATATTGGACCATGCATTCTCATTACCATCTCAAGATAGTATGAGACGCTGCCCCATCTTCATCTATTACCGCGAATTTCAATTTACAGTTTTGAGAGACAAAAAACAAAAAGGAGAAGGACATCAGCTCATAGGTAGGAAATGGCATGTTTCAACAATGCCTCGGCCCAGTTCCGCTACAGTTTGGCGCTACCCCATGCCGTGGATGTCGCTCAGCCTCGTCTGGTTGGTCACCATGACGTTGATGCCTGCTCCAGCGCACATTTCTCATCGTCGAGGGTTTTCGGGGGGCAGTCAAGCCAAATAGGTACATGTACTTGCTTGCATTTGCTCTGCTTGTTTGCAGCACACCATCCGCCATCGTCACCGACTTGGAGCCCCCCGGCTCTCCAGCGCAGCGCTATCTATATACGGGTGTGCGAGGTAGTATCAGTGTCAGTAGCGCGAAGCATCTGTACAAGTACCCTGTAGCTGCATGTTTTGTTCCTGCGGCTCGCTGCCACGTCAACCCAGGCCAACATGAATGCAAAGAAGCTCCAGGGTACGGCCAGTACCCAAATCGTAGCATGTACATTACTAGTAGGTAGGTGGCAGTTCTTGGTAGCAACTCCTCCGTCCTCCATGGCTGGTTGGGCCCCCTCTTTAGGTATTGTTTAAACTTTTGTCTTTTCTTTTTGTGTCTTTTTTCTTGTAAGTCGTCAGGTCCTTACTAAGACGTCCGTCTTGTCCCCTCTTCGGCGCCCCCCCTCCCCGGTTCATTTTTATTGGCACTTATTCATGCCAAGGTCACCGGACGTAGCCTCGCCGTCAGCGAATCTCGTCAGCGCATCCCGTCATGGCCGACCGGATCAGGAACAGGCGGTACCTGGCCAGAACAGCTGGCGGGCCCGTGCGAGACACCGGGCCATGTACAGGGCTGCGATGGACAGATACCTGCGGCTGCTGTGCATTTGCCAGCCATGCGCCGCCACCGTCAGTAGCGCGGCCAGGTATATGCTTAACTCGGAGTGGGCGCTCCCCTCAGCCAGACACATGTCACTGACGCACGACCGTTTACGTACCTTCCTGTAGCTCTCCCCCTTCTGGAGGAACCGATTCTTCCGGACGGACTCACTTGCACCTCGTTCCCTGGCCACACTCCCGATTGTTAAGCTAGACAAGGTTTCATATATCCTGTCGACAACGGAGCAGAGTGCCATCACCGGTTTTTTCTCCATTCTATCGTTTGACGCTGGAAGATGGCGGACGACTGCTGTCTCTTTCTGTCATGACCCATGGGAAATAGAGGAATCTACTTAAGCAATACAGCGCCGTATAATAGCTCGGACATATCCACTAACTAGCCACGCCCGTCACGATGGCGTCGTCATCGAATCCCTTCCGCAAGCCTGCGACGCAGCATGCAGAGAGTCGCTATCCGGCAATCGATTCTATAAGCTCCGTCCAGCTGTTTCCGCCTCCCAAGACGAGCTTCCGCGACGAAAATGTGCCTCCTGCGGCCGCGCAATCACCCTCCCAGAAAGCCAAGGTGGTGAAAAAGGTCCGCGTGCTGTCACCGCCTCCGCGGTCGCCCGACTCGCCAGAGTTGACGGCCAGCTACTTCAACCCTGCCGTACAAGCACAATCATATGCACAAGATCAAGATCCCTTCAGCAACGCTGTGGTCGACGAGAACAGCTGGGAGGATGCATCCGCTACCCCACCCCCTCAGCCGGCTCTTCCGCAGGCACGGCAACCGCTGATGGAGACGCAGACGCAGAGGCCGGTGCAGACCGTGGTCAATCCCTTCAGCAAGAAGAAGGCGCAAGACGCTGGCAATTCTAAGGACCTGAAGGAAGATCTGCGGGAGGAGGGCGAGGCGCTGAGGGCGGCCCAGTCTGCAAGGCGGTCCTTGAACGTCGATTCATTCAAGCGATTGCTTATGACGGGCGATGCGAGCCCGCTCAACTCCACATCTCCAACGGACTCTCCATCCGACCACGATCGGATCGATCGTCCAAAGCCTACACAGGATGCTCCAGCTGCAGCACGAACCAACAAGGAGAAGAAAGCTCCTCCACCGCCTCCAAGCTCCAGACACGGAAAGGTGATCAAGTCCGAGCAGAATGTCACCAGCTCTGAGAGTACTATCAGCAGCCCCGTAGAAAAGCTAGCTGAGCCGGTTGCGCAACACAAGGAACCGTCTCGGCCTGTGCTGTCTCGAGAGAGCTCGGCAAGCAGCAACTCTTCGATAGAGGATCTACCTGTGAAATTTGATAGTCACCCTGCCGAGTTTACATCCAGCCCCGATCAAATGGATGCTTCTACAACCCCTCCAAACACTGCCAAAAAGGCTGTACCGGTCCCTCCACCCAGACGACAGCCTCGGATCGAGGTGAAAACAAACGCCCTGGATTCTCAAGAGAATGAACCGCCTCCACGCACGTCGATGGACTCGGTTCTGTCCAGGTCCGGCAGTGTCCGCCAGAGCACCAATGCGCCAGCGCCTCCGCCACCCCGGAGAACAACTTCGAGCTCGAGGCCTCCAAGCTATGCAGGCACACCGCAATCTTCTACACACATATATGCCCCCGAATTTGATCCACCAAGAACCTCCCTCGACTCAGCAAGGCCCATGGCGCCTCCACCACCACCCACGCGCAATCCATCTACTCGCCGCCCTCAGAGTTTATACGGCCTAGAGTCCTCTCAACGGAGAGCCATGACCGAAATTAAACCACGAGATACCGTGGCCCCTCCACCGCCCCCTTCAAGGAGTCAAAGCAGCACAGGTGGGCGGTCTGGACGAACAAGCCTAGATTCGGCCAGAAAACCAAGAACATCTGCAGATGATTTTAGCGACCTCAATGAGCAATACCTGGGCCAAAGCGTGGACATACTCGCTGACCTTGAATCGCTACAAAGAGAGGTGGATGCTTTGAGAGGGAAGATAAATTGATGCGGATATATACGGTTGCTTCGTTAGCGAATATATACGCAGTAATGAACTTGAAGGGTTGACAGAGGGAGTTTAGCCAAAGATGATACCAGAAGGAAGGAAATGACCATATTAGAGGAGTATGAGACGGGGGGAAAAGAAATGGAGTCCGCTGTATAGTATATATGGGAGGCGTTTCTCTTATTTTTATTTCTTATATTTTACATGAGCTTGGGTATATCGCGACGCAAAACTTCTTTCTTTTGCCTTTGTTTTGCACAAGGAGGGTGTCGTTAATGTAGTCCGTCCGAGTTGCACTATCGTAGCGATCCAATGCGCTTTGTAGTTGGATACAGCATGAAATCTCTGCTAGAAATCTGGTTCGCCCGTATAATGTGGGATATAGATACATTACTGATCTTTGATTTCCATTTTCTCTCTTCTTTTTCTATTTCAAGGTCAACGTGGTGCCATTTATCCCTTTCCCAGAGAACAGCGACTGTCTATGTAGCACTCTCCTGATTATATCCCAAAATAAACGCCGAATAATGCACGCTTTTTTATAGATTATTAGTATACATCCCAATTTTAATGCCGATCTTTGACTAAAAATATTCCGTCTATTATTGTTTCCCGGCCTTGATTTTGCTCTATGTCGAGGGCTTTATCTGGCCCATTTCGTATTCTCCCGCCATACTCGATTCGCCCATCCCGTCTTCCACGTCGGGAGGCAGCGCATCGCCCATGGCTCCCGTGCTCCTATTCGTCGTAGGGCCGGCCGTGCCGGACCCGAGGATCCTGCCACCGAGGAAGAAGACGGGTTGCAGCTCGCGGTAACGGCATCCCCACATGCCCAGGCCGACGGCGGTGGCGGAGGAGGCGACCATGGTGAACCACCACATGGAGTGGCGAGGAAGGGAGCGCGTGTAGAGGCATGTGAAGAGGAGGTGGAGGAAGTGGATTGTGAGGGCGAAGTCGGGAACGAGTTTACTGCGCGCGATGAGGATGACCATGGCGAGAGACCTGTTGATGAAACAAGGATGTTAGCTTCTTTAGTTTTCATGACTTGGCAAAAAGGAGCGCGAAAATGACGTTGTGAAGGGTGTGAACTCACATGCAAAAGCCTCCGTTGAGAATCCACACAAAGGCCAAGAGCCACCCTTGCGTTGTATCGCCACGAACGCGATCCCATCCGAGTATTAGGTTGAAGTTGAATGACATGCCGGCGACGAGGGCAGTGAAGAGCATGAGGACGAGGGCGGCAAGGTAATAGAGGGCCTGGAGGCTTGCTATCTGGGCGGCGATTTTGAGAGGTTGGAGCTCTGTGAGAGCGCCGGCGCGAGGAGGCCTGCGTCGGCGGGCCATGGTTTTTTAACTTTTTTTTTTGTTTTATTCTTTGATTCTGTTTTTGCTTGAAAATAGAACGGAGAACTGTGGTGTCTTGAATGGGCGACGGGTCGTTGCGTAGCTATTTGGAGATGCTGGAGGATGGATGAGGCGTCGGAGTACTGCTGTACATTGGTTTCGAGTCTCGCGCTCCTAATCCATGCTGAGAGGATTCGTGTTAACGAGTCGAAGGAGATGCCGAGTTCGGAAACCGGCGAAGGCGAATGCTCGGCAAGTAGCGCTGCCTGGCGCAAGAAAAGAGTGTGCTGGTGCAGACGCTGGTGACGGCACGAGAAATGGCTTGGGGATGAACACATACATGATACGCCAGCCAGGTGACCACAGCCAAAGGGGACTCGGGCGTTGAACTTGGCGCTAAGCTGGATGGGGTGCTGCTGCGGCTGACCGCCCGCAGGATTCTGCCGAGTCTTCTCATCGTCATTACCCGCTGGCGGCTCACTAGTTGCGGCTTTGGTAGCTCATAGCAGCTTGGGACGGGTCTTTTAGTCTCCAGTCACTACTCTACGTCCACGGGCTTGAGATAATCTCAATTCCACACAGCTGGCAAATCACTGATTTTTTCATGACTCAATTGGCTTATTGAGGTATCAGTCTTGGTACTATCATCAAGTCTCAAGGGCATAACAACTACCCCTCATTACAAAGCAAGAAAACGTGCCAGAGGAAGCAATTGTCTCAGTATAAAGTCTTCGCCGGAGGTTTCTTTGGCCAGGAAAATCAAACAATTACACAACTACACATACAATCTACAACTACATATATATAAAAATGGGTTGGTGGCCGTTTTCCGCAGATACCCGCCAGGATGCCATCCGCACCGGCACCGCCATTCCGAACCGAGAGGAGCGCGCCCTTTGCTGGGCCGCTCGGGATGCCTATTTTCTGTGCCTAGACGCGAACAACATCCTCGATGCGAACAAGGATGCCTCTGCGGCTGCTAAGGCGTGCCCCAAGCAGACTGCTGAGTTTGAGCGCGACTGCTCTGCCGCCTGGGTCAAGTACTTCAAGCAGTGGCGGGTCGCCGATCTGCAGAAGAAGAGGAGGCTGGAAGAGCTGCGCAAGCAGGGCGCTGTCGAGATGGAGGTTTCTTCAAGCTTTGCACCGGAGGGAGGTGCTGGAGCCAAGGGTGGCAAGGGAAAGGGCGATATCCAGGATATGCTGGATCAGAAGAGAGGGAGGTAAATGGAGGCATGCATGTATGACTGCTGCGGCTGAGGTTTTGGGGCCTTGTGACGGTTAAGGTTCACAAGGATGGAATGAAATGGAATGATGATGTATGTATTATAAAAGGGTGGGTGACTGTGTACAACAACAAACAGTATTTGTATATTATGATGGATGGGTATTGGGGATTTGGCAGGGCTCAAAAACGGACTCACCCTTCTCTTTTGAAAGTTTTGAATAGATTTGAACGAATTCAGCTCAGAAACTTGGCGGCGCGCAGCTTAGTTGGCCCCAGCGGCAGTATTCTTCATACATGCTTAAAAGGGACCAAAAAAAGGGTGACATTATGCATGATTCAATAAACGATATAATACTCTGTAGACAACACGATCGAATTCGAGGTATCAAAAAAAAATGAGATGATACCAAAAAGAAGTTGCGCGCCTATGGCTCGCATTGCAATGGACGAACGGGGAATCGAACCCCGGACCTTTCCCAGGCGGGTGCGGCAACTCGGAAGTTGCGCTATGCTAAGGGAAAATTATACCACTAAACCATCCGCCCATTTGACTCGTGATGCCAAATTTGGCCGGTGGAATCACCTAAAACGGTAGGGATCGCACCGCGGATAAGATGTTCTTTGGATGGCTGAAGATGATCTCTTTAACTCGCGTAGCAGGGGATTTAAAGGGCTGGCTGGGTTTTACGCAACACACGTATGAGCTCCCTACGTGTAGTTGTCGACTTAGGTAAAAGCCTATAGATTAGCGAGAGTATATCCATATAACGTATCAAAGCTGTCTCGTCTATATAACTGAATGCTAGGCGTATGCCCTTTTCTTTTGGCGCATGTCATGTCGTGCGTTCTTGGCCTGGCAGGCTACCCTAGATGCGTCAAGGAATTATCTTTGTTTTCACTATTATGCATAATCGGATCACGGCGGATGTAAAATTACGTGTTTCTATGGGCATGTGTTTAAATATTAATGCTGCATGTTAATTTTATTTGCTCACGGCAGATGGCCATCTATGTGTAGATTTGAGTTGTACTGGTATATCATTTACTGCCCCCTTGAGTGAGGTGGGTTGAATATCGTATCGAGAAAAGACGCGCTCAAGACGCGCCGATCGTCATTTAAAAAGCAAAGAATTAGGGCTTTGTCGAAAATCAACCGCCTCTTGGCCCTTCAACTGCGTAAAACTACAAGTCAAATACGCAGCGCTATGGTCTATTACCACGGTGCCTCAGCGAGCCAAGTTTTCCATGTCATGGGCGGAAGAGCAGTAAGCCGTGCTCAACCAGTTTATTTTTAACTCAGCAGCAGCGGTTGTACGCTTCCCAGCAGCGCGCACAGATTGCACGATGCACACTATGGCGGAATGGTGTTTTAGGCAACACAATGCTGGGTGGCGAAGTGATACAGCGCAAGGAGGCCACTCTCGCGTAGGTCCAACATGCACGCAATATCGCGTCGTTCATGTGAATGATCCCGCATTAAGCAAATCTTACTTGAGGACGACTGCCAAGACTGCTCATAGTAAATGTCTATTCCACGCTTGAGGCTGGTCCAGCGCCAGATGAACAGGCCTCAGGGCCGGATGCTGGGCATCATCCGAACAGTCGTGTTCCAGGCAATGCTTTGCACGCTTTTCTCTCTCTTGGCGGCGTCTCCTGGTGGTTTCACAGCTTAGCTCTTTCTGTTTCATGAAACGTCCCCTCTTTCTCGTGCTTGGCCCTTGAAGCATAGTGATTGGGTGGCCGGTGTCGTATCCCTGCTCTCTTTGTTGGTGCCCTGCGCCAGCGAAAGGGAGCCAATCTTTAGCCGCGGTTTTTAAGTTATCTGGGCGCTGATCGTGGATAGAGGCTTTGGTTCGCCAGGGGGCAACCGAAGCTTGGGTGCACTACTCGGTATAGCGTCGCCCAATCAAGTTTGGGAATTCTGAAGGCGGGATTCTAGCTCGTGGGACCCCTTGGAGAGCATGTCATGATTCACGATCCTATGCGTGGTGGGATATTGAGGGAGCTGTATAAAAGGGACTTGATCTGTCCCTGGTGGCGAGTGTGAATGCAGGGCATTGTTCGTTACCACGTTCAACTATACATTCATTTCTTTTCTTGCGCTGGATCGCGCTCTCTATTGTTTGCGCACGCTATTCACTTCATTTACTGTTCAATTTTTTCTTGCTCAACGTGGTTGTTTTATTTTCCAAGTTGAACAGCTCTTCTGTATAAAGGACCTGGTGTTCTTTGTTGCAATTTCTCTCGTCTCTCCCTATATATATCTATATCCCTGCAAACGAAATATTTGCACAACTCCAAGCTACATCATAGACTTCTTCGCATCGACATTCTTCATAACCATTCACGATGCACTTCTCAACTGCCGCCTCGCTCGTCCTGAGCCTCGCCGCCATCGCGGCGGCCCAGCTTCCTGCTGTCCCCATCATCAAGCAAATCGCTCCCGGAGCCGAAAACTGCGCCGACACTACCGAATGCCGCACTGCTGAGCAGGCGGCCCCCTTCATTGCCAAGAGCATGTCCGACTACAAGATCTACAACGTGGCCGAGATGGCTGCCATCATCTCCCTCATGGCCTTTGAGTCCGTCGACTTCAAGTTCAAGCACAACGTCTCTCCTGGCCGCCCTGGCCAAGGCACTGCCAACATGCAGATGGCCAACTTCAACCTGCTCTACGCCCAGAGCATCGACAGTGTCAAAAGCAAAGTTTCTAAATTTACCACCACCGATGGGTTGAGCCCCGATGATCTGAATCACATCCTGTCCTTGGTTCAGCCCGATGAGTTCAACTTTGCCAGTGGCGCCTGGTTTTACTCTACGCACTGCGATGCCTCAGTTAAAGCCGCCTTAAAGGCGAACCCCGATGACGGATTCAAGAAGTATATTACAGCCTGTGTCGGCACGTCGGTCACAGATGAGCGGTTGGCATACTTCACAAGGGCAAAGAAGGCCTTTGGACTGAAATAAATGCAACATGCAAGAAGGCTGCTATTACCAGCGCCGAACCGTCAGCGTTTTATTTTGTTGGAGCTTGTATTAGTATTAAGTTTTTATATATAGAGAGTATAGACCTTGTCAATAAAAGAAAACTTTGTCCTTTTCCATTTTTTCCCTGTTTAAATCTGCTTCTATTCATTAGATATACGAAGCCAATGAATGTGGTTGACCCCAGAATGCTACGGACCAGCAGTTAAAGAACGATAGCATCAACTGGGTTTAGACTGTGCATAAACGAGCATCTAACAGATTACGCTGGCTCGTATTGACAGGGACTTAATCCTTTGACTCACCTACGGCAGCACGTAATGCCGAAAATGACGTGCGCCTGCACTTCTGTCTATGGTGGAACATGAATTATCATATACATAAGCGGGCCCAAGAAGAAAGAGCTCCCAAAAGATCTCCCTTAAACGGCTCATCGTCGCGATCTTCAACAAGACAATCAGTGCGATGCTCAGTTAGAGAGCGCGTGCTGTTGGACGGAATTTAAAAAATGGAGCTAAATATTAGCATTCAACTTCTCTACTCGCTTACCTTGGTAACTTCGCTTGCGTTCATTGTTTTTGGCTTCCATCGATTATGGGCTCTGCGTTATGAGTTAGTGAAGGTAGAGCCGAATTGGCTCGGTGTTATTAAACCCGTACGCATCCTCTCCACGCGACGCGTTTCCAAGTGATAAATCGCCGCTGACTCTATCGTGCAAATTAATAGTTTGTAGCTTCGGCGCTTCCATTGCTGCTGCTCAACGATTTGGTGTACGATTTGATAGATGGAAATATAGAATGGCTGAGAATCGCGTCATGTAGTGCATCTTTGACTGCATCAGTCGGCTTGGTCTGGTTGACGATTACTGAGCATAAGCGGTCCATCCGCCCTTCAAGATTAAATGAGCTCTACTTGCTGCTAATGTGTACTTGGGACGTTTTCGCGTTGACGTATGATGGCCTCTTTCATGATCAAAATGGCTCTAAAGGCAGCATAGGCCTCAAGCTCGCGACTCGACTTGCGATACTGGCCCTCGAGTGCCAAGAAAAGACATCCATCTTGAAACCGAAATATCGTCAAGATTCGCCCGAAGAAACGGCCGGATTGTTAAGCTCTCTTTTATTTTGGTGGCTGAATGGGCTGTTGAGTCGTGGCAATAGGAGCATACTGCGCAGCAGCCATCTTCCTGGCCTGGGGAAGAAGATGAAAGCTGAGAATCTGCATCGCGGTATTCTCTTATGCTGGGATCGCAGAGGTATGTTCAACTTCTCAATGGGGACTCGTGGAGCCCGGATATCCAGATCCTTGCTCCAGTTCTGACGTGACATAATAGCAAAACCAGAGACAGTCTTGACGCTGCCAAAAGTCTTGTTACAGTGTCTCACAGGACCATTTGTAGTAGCGATATTTCCACGCTTAAGTCTTCTGATTTTAACATCTAGTCAGCCGATTTTAATCGAACAGGCCGTTCGCTTTGTCCAGGGATATACAATTGGAGACAGCGACCATGGAGGATATTGGCTAATTGTAGCTGCTGCCGTCGTCTACTTGGGCCAGACTGTGAGTGCAAACTGGTGTTGGAAGTGAAACTCATGAATTAATTTCTCGTGTCTAGTTTTCAGCCTCAATGTACTACCATCGCCTCAATAAGCTTGAGCTTATGATACGTGGATCCCTTACGACCTTAATCTACAACAAAGCCCTGACCATTGAATCAAACGTCTCCGATACGGGCAAAGTAATAACGATTATGAGCACAGATATTGATGGTGCGGCAGAAGCAGGAAAAATGCTGCATGAGGCCTGGGCAAAGTTCTTTGAGCTTGTGATCGGTGTAGTACTTTTGGTCCGAGAAATCAAATGGCTTGCTCCGCTTCCCTTTGTCATAATTATTTGTAAGTTGGCCCGACTCTGACCATATATTTGCTGCTATGGTATTCTAATAGCTATAACTATAGTCTGTTCTCAGATCAGCCGTTATGTGGCGCAGAATATTCGATCCAGACAAAAGGGTTGGAGTATGGCTACCCAGCGGCGGATATCCGCCTTGAGTTCAATTCTCATGTCTATGAAAAGCGTCAAAGCACTGGGGGTATCAGACGCCATGACGAAATATGTCGACAATCTCAGGCAAGATGAAATTAAGAGCGCCAACAGCGTCCGTTATATGAATGCTGTGTATAATGCAAGCGGTAAGATTCGGCCAAGTTTTTTCATTCTGGTAGCATACTGATTCTGAGATAGCAAATGCGCTTGGGATCTTTGCACCTGCACTTACTTTAGTGGTATTTGCTCTCGTGGCTCGCTTACAAGGTTCCCAGATGGATGTTAGCACCGCTTTCACGACTGTTGCTATTTTAGCACTCGTAACAGAGCCCGCAAACATGATTATGACGATTGTGCCTAAAGCGTTTGCAACTTCGGCCAATTTCGAGAGAATACAAGCTTACCTACTTGAACCATCTCGAAAAGACAAGCGTCAGGTCAGTTCTCGGCTGTCAGATATGCCGAGCACAGGCGTGACGGAAGCTGCCGTTGATATTGATGGAGTAACGATAGAGTCACCATCATCAAACAAGGTCCTTTTGCAGGATATCAAGCTGATACTTCACCGAGGTTCCACAACTGCCTGCTCTGGTGCCGTTGGTAGCGGTAAATCGATACTTGCAAAGGCAATATTAGGTGAAATTGCCCCTTCTGAGGGCAAGATTACAATTACATTTGCATCGATTGGCTTTTGCGATCAGCAAGCTTGGCTACCTACAGGAACAGTCAAGCAAATTATATGTGGATTTTCTATGGCTATTGACGGCGAGAGATATGAAGCTGCCATCCATGCTTGTTGCCTTGACCATGATCTACGCACGTTTCCTAATGGTGACAGCACTATTGTTGGCAGTCGTGGAATCAATCTTTCTGGTGGACAAAGGCAGAGACTAGTAAGATACCAGCACTGTGTCTGCGTTGAACGGAGATATAATTGACAAAATGTGTATTAGGCACTGGCGCGCTTAGTATACTCTCTCCACGATATCGTGGTGCTAGATGATCCGTTTAGCGCATTGGATGGCAATACGGAGAATGCGGTTGTAGACAATTTGCTTGGGCCGAACGGCTGGTTCAAGAAGAGAAATACGGCTGTGTTTTTGGTCACAAACTCTGGTAATTCTTCACATCCCTCAAGTAACACAGCTTTAGGACTAAACATTTCAATAGCGCAACATTTCCACATTGCAGACGAAATTCTGGTTCTCGAAAAGGGTCGCATTATATCTCGGGGCTCGTGGGATGAACTGAAGACTACTTTGTCTAACTTGTCCAAATTTACATTTGCGCAGACAGACAAGAGGCCAGAAGCGATTCCACGAGCTGCTAGATTGATACCACAGACTAGTACTGAGGCAGAGAATGACCTCTATCGGAAAACGGGCGACTTCTCTCTTTACTGTGAGCTTTAAGCATATATGTGATGGAAGGAGATGAGCTGATCAAATAACTAGCGTACTATCTAAAATCCGCTGGCTTCAGGAACGTGGCCCTATTACTTGGGCTTACGATGGTTTATTCCTTCTCCATTACCTACCCTCAGTATTGGGTCAAATCTTGGACAGAAGGCTCTCCAAGTGATTCAACGTATTACATGATTGGCTACGTCCTGTTAGCTGTGACTGCTTGGACAACGACTAATGGAATGATGCTGTAAGTCTTCAAACACGTCTACCGGGAACGAATTCAATTCATCAAAGTTCTCACAACATATACTTGTAGGTCCACATTATTTTTGATAGCTACGACATCTGGGGAAGTGCTGCACCGATCTCTCCTTGGGACTATTTTTGGGTAAGGTGAACAAAACAAATCGATGTAGTAGAAGGTGCTGACTCTCTAAGCGCTCCGCTGCTGTTATTTTCCACAACAGATGTTGGTGTTACAATTAATAGGTAAATGCGGGATACTTTTTTAATATTGAATGTGGGAAAGTCTAACTTGATCACAGATTCAGTCAAGATATTTCCTACGTGGACAGACAACTACCATTGACTCTGTCATCCATGTTCGTTCGTAAGAAGCCTCATAGTTCTTCCCTGGGCGTCCAGCCAGTACTAATGTTTGCTTGTATCATTGTAGAAACGTTCAAAATGGCAAATCAACTGGCTGTGATTATGATTGTTCAGAAAGGACTAGCCCTTTCTCTCCCTGTTTGCATCGTTGCTGTCTATTTCGTACAGAAGATATATCTCAGGACATCACGCCAGCTGCGTGTCTTGGAACTTGAAAACCAAGCGACTCTCTTCCAATGGTTTTTAGAGACCGTAGAGGGCGTTGTCACTATACGGTCTTTTGGCTGGTCTTCTGCAGCCGAAGAGAAGAGCTTTGAAGTGCTTAACTGGTCACTTCAGCCTCGCTATGCTCTCATGTGTGTCCAGCGATGGCTGAGTCTAGTGCTTAATTTGATTGTCAGCGGAATTGCTATTGGCTTAATTGCTCTCGCTGTGAAATTTAAGGGGACGACCACTGGTGGAGATATCGGTGCAGCTCTCAATTTGATCATGGTTACTAATACGACGCTGGTAAAACTGGTAGAGTACTGGGCGTCCCTGGAGGTGTCCTTGGGTGCAATTGCACGACTCAGAAATGTGGAATTGTACACCCCTCGAGAAGACTTACCTGAGGAAGATCTTGTGACATATGCCGGGTGGCCGACCAAGGGAGAAGCTTACATAGCAGATCTTGACGCGGGTTATAGGTGATTTTAAACACTTCATCGTATCACACTCTAAGAGAATTTTAAGACTAATGCGAATAGCTCGGATCATCAAATTTTACACAAAGTCAACCTCGATATTTACGAGGGCCAAAAGCTCGTCATTTGTGGTCGAACTGGCAGGTAAGCAGATAATAATCCCCATATCGCATCACTCGTTGTTGACAGACGATTATAGTGGCAAAAGTACTATTCTTGCCGCTTTGCTGCACTTAATTGATTGCAATGGGATTATCAGGGTGGATGGGCAAGACTTGCTTCGCACTCCTAGGTCAATTATCCGCAAACGGTGTTTCATAACCATTTCTCAGGAGGCATTCATAATACCTCAGGCTACGTTACGCTTCAACTTGGATCCTGATTCCACTGTTACCGATGAGGTCCTTCAGACGGCCTTGCAGAAAGTTGGCATTTGGTCGCTGCTTTGCAGCGGGGCTGGTGCACCAGCAGACGTGCTAAACGCCGAGTTTTCATCATTGCCCGTGCTGTCTGTGGGACAACAACAGCTACTCGCTATGGCTCGTGCCATTATTCGAAAGCATGCCTTAGCAGTACCGGATTATCCTGGAAATGATGCACCGAAACCGATCCTCCTTCTGGACGAGGCCACTTCATCGCTCGATTCGATGACTGAAGCAGCCGTTTACGATGTATTAGAAAGTGAATTTATCCAAGAAGGATATACAGCTGTCATTGTGGCTCATAAATTGAGTGTAGTTGCTGGCAGGATGAGGCCAGAGAAAGATAGAGTAGCTTGGGTTGAGGATGGAAGGATTGTAAAGGTTGGCGAGTATGAAGAAATAATGCGGTTTGCAGATACAGAATAGGCATATAGTAGTCATTATTGGCTTTAATACATTGTGTGTCAAGAATTATATGCTCCTTGATTCTGGACAAACGCTTGTTCATTAGCTTTTATATCCGACTGGAAAGCAAGATAATACAAATTTTCTTGGATGGAGTCTGGTTATTGAAACAAAGTAAATAAGGATGAATTTTCTTTATCGTAATATACTATATACACCTTGCTTAATGAAATGTTATTCCTAAGTTTCCGCGGTCAAACCGTGGCTGGTAAGACCTCTTAGCTGGAGCAGAAGTGTGGGCGACACTGCTACTATTATACGGGCTCAAACTTGGCGGGAGGTCTTCCACCCTTGTACCCCACGAACTCTCCTTACTACCCAAGGTGAGGACGAGCTCTTTTCCTTCGAGGAAGAAGCTATGGTCGATCCAATTCTTGGTGTAAGGTTTACCATTCAAAGTAGCTTTTTGAATGAACACATTCTGATAGGTGGGGTCGAAGTTGATGTTGCGAATAGTTGCAGTCTTTCCCGTGATGGGGCTCTTGATGCTGACACTTTCGAAGTAAGGTGGAATAATAAGGTAGACATCTTGACCGGGGTTGGGGAATAAGCCCATCATGGAAAATGCGACGAAGCTGCCCATGGCGCCGCTGTCATCGTTGCCTGGTAAACCGTCTGGAGTGGGAGCAAAGAACTTGGGAATGTAAAAATGGCTTCGCTGAGCCGACAAAGCGGGGCGGCCAGCGTAATGGTATTGGAATACAGTGAGGAAACTCGGCTCGTTGCCGATACTGAAAGTCTTGTTAGAACGTCTCTGCATGGATTTTCCCTTTGATATGCCTTACTATGTAATCTCTTGATCGTGCATGTAAGAAAGGCGATTAACGAAAGAGTCAGAGCCTCCATAAAGGCTAAGAAGGCTAGCCTGATCGTGAGGCACGAAACTATAGGCAAAGTGAATTAGTCTAAAGAGAATAGAGACACTCCAGAGGATATCACCATAGAAGGAAGAATTATAACTCACAAGCCATATTCCCAAATGCTACTCTCAAATGTCTCGGCGCCAGAATTTTGCAGTGAGCATACACTGGTGGAATCCAAGTTGCTGCATTTCAAAGGATCCTGGTTGAACCAGGTCTGGTTTAAAAACTTGGCCTGGAAAAATCCCTTGAAGCCGGTGTCTGTCCCGTTTCTGAACGAAGTCTGATCAGCCTTGAACAGATTTTTCCAATTACCACTGGATTCGATATATTTCTCTTGGTCTGACTTCTTGCCCAGACCTCCGGCAATCTGAGAAATGCAAAAGTCGTTGTAGCTATACTCAAGAGTTCGACTTATAGAACGTGTCATAGTTCCGAAGCCCTTGTAGTCAAAGTCTTGGACGGGAATGTAGTGGAGACTTTTCCAGCTGTCCAGGCCACCGCGGCCTTCTACGCTCCATGCATAGGGCTCAACTTCTGCGTCCTTCACCACAGCCTCGTATCCTTTTTGCCAGTCGATGCCATCCTTGAGGCCTTTGAGGTAAGCATCCGCGAGAACGTTATCCGCATTGGAGCCGCCCTGCGTATATCCTGAACAAAGACTCATACGGCAATCAGGAAGCCAGCCAACATTTTCATAAATTGAGATTAGGGAGCGAATTTGCTCCGTAAGACTTGCAGGATCTAAAATTGTCATGAAAGGCATCTGCGATCTAAACAGGTCCCAAATACAATAGAACGAATCGTAGTACGGTTCGCCATCGTCCCAATAAGGATTCTCTCCAGTGTAATTCTGTGGGTTGACCAAGGTGCGATAAATTCCTGAGTAGAATGACGTGATAAAGTCCTTGCTAACTCCCGTAGTATTGACCGTGATGGGAGAGAGCTTCTCTCGCCAAATACTGGTGGCCTCATTGACGTATTTGTTAAGATCCCAGTGTGTAATCTCACTTTCTGCGTTGGAACATGCTTTAGCACTGCTGATGAAGCTGACGCCGGTACGAGCATATATCGGATTTTGAGCGCTGGCAAAGCGGACAAAGGCGCCACCTGGCAAGGGGTAGCCATTGATAGAGCGAGAGATGGTAAGATCCTTGACACTGGTACTGGCACGCGAGTTTGCAAAGATGCCATTGTCGTAAATCTGTGCACCTGAGAAGTCTGTACAAAAGTGTAGCTTGTAGGTCCCGCTGCCAAAGCTTGGGACGAAGACGGCATTGCCAGTAATGCGGCCAGTTTTTGCGTCAACGCTCACGGTGCCGTTATCCTGGCGCGAATTTGAGAGATCTGTCAGATCCTGCAAAATAAGCGGCTTATCGCCAGGCCCAGCATTAGGGAACGTGAATTTGAACAGCGCTGCGTGCTGTGATGTTGTCATCTCAACTTTGGGACCGCTATTCAGAGTGATGCCAAAGTATCCTGGCTTCGCAACAACGCTGTTGTTGGAGAAGCTACCAAATTTGGCACGATCATTCTTGGGAAATGAACATCCGTCAATTTCACCACCCGGACAAGATGTGTATGGGAAGAGTGGGAAGTTGCCAAGAGACGGCGAGCCTCCAGTGCCAGAGTCGTGCATGACACTGAAGCCAGTGACACTGGAGCCATCTAACGTGAAGCCGCCTTGATTGCTACCACTGTTCGTATCGGCAACAGCCTTGGCCATGCCAAACGGAAGGGTAGCTCCTGGGAAAACATTGCCGCCATTGTTGCTGCCAATGAGCAAGTCGACGTAGGTTAGAGGATCAAAAGCGGCGGCTTGGGCCTGGATAGTGGCTCCAAGTCCACATAGCAAGCTTATAGCCTTGACGGCTCTGGTTTTCGGTGCCATATTATCACAGCCCTTACTGCAATGGTGACAAATGGGGGGACATAGAGAACATCTTATATGATAGGGTGCCATTCGGACTTCATATGTATTCCATTGGCTCTCCCCGACCGCTTCAACCCCTCAAGCCCAGTGGTCTTATTTCACTTCTTCATGTTACATCGTTCGCTCCTTCTCGCAAAGCCAACAGAGCGCCCGTTCAACAATTTGAAGGGCACGCCGGAATTCACGCTCCGTACTAGCAAGCTATGTTGTGAGACATTTACCGTTATTGCGATGAGCATGTCTTGAACCAAGAGGGGGAGAGTGCATTACCACTTTATGAAATGCCGGCTCATAACCCCTGGAATGGCTAAATGGCTGCAACCCCAGTCGGCGCCATACCGTCACAGCGCATTAATTGAATGTCTTGCCCCCCTCTTTCAGAAGAGCGTCGAATCTAGAGAGTTTTACGATTGGTGGGGTGCAATAAAGATCTACTATTAGATCTTGATCTATGTACTATTACTGAGACATTCGGAGTAATTGCATATAGGGACTAATACCGGCGCTCGACTAAAGGAAACTGGAACTCTAGCCGTTCCCAAGCCTTTCTGGGCTTGCCTCCAAATCCAGCAACGGCTAATTCATAGTAGTGCGCACTACAGAGCATCTGTGACGTATGACTACAGATTTCATGTGGTGCGAGGTAGACACAGTGGAGCTTATTGTTCTAAAGCTATCCGTTGTTTCCACCGGCGATAACGAACTGCCCAATCCATGTTAATGTCGTAACATTATTGGCATGCGGAGCATTAAATGGAGAGGCGGGGGAACTTACAGGATCAAGAATTTTGTGAGCTAAAGTCACATGCGGTGCAAGTGTGGTATTCCCTGCCACTTCTGGTAAGAATATCGACAGTTGCAAGGCTTCTAAGAATGCGAAGCAGATACGATAACGCCGACTTTTGCTCCGACTTGTTCTTCGAGATATATTGGCAGGCAACATTACTCTCTTGAAGATCTCATTACTGACTGGTAACCCTATAATCCTTACCCCGCAGTCCTAATAGTGTCTGTAACACATGCATGCACTCTAGGATCAGGGCAAGCCAGGGATGGTAGTGGCAAGAGATGGCGATAATTAGCTATCAATATGTAATCTTCAAAAAAAGGACGGCATACAGGTTCAAAGTGAGCTCGTTACTTATTATATAATCGTAAATTCCAAAATCTTTGCAATACATTCTCAGTATTTCCAACTGTTCTCAAGCCCCAAGATCATACCGAGTGCCACGCAGAGCCTTGGCCGGTCCGTTGCCAAGGTTTATCTCATCAAGATTCGTCAAACCATAGGCCCTTCCACTCCGCCATAAATAAAGTCGGAAGCCAAGGAGGGATAAGGCAATCACTGGCAATGTGATATACGAAGCAAAGAAGTTTGAAACTGAAAACTTGTGGATGAAGGACTGGAAACCGTTAAAAAACAGAATAACAGTAAAAGAGACGATGCAAATCCATGCCATATACGGCTGGAACCACCCTCTGAGGTCAAGATTCTTTCTGTCGATGCCCTGGACTTTCAGGGCACTGTAGAATCGCACGAAGCAGGTGCAGATACTGATCCATGCAATTAAGCTACTGAGAGCTAAGATTCAAATATTGTTAGCAAGCCTAGAAATAGAGCGGAACGATTAAGAGCTTACCTGAAAGATTCGACAACCAAATGAAAGCTTGATCAGAACCATTGGATACTGAGAGGAAGCCTAATAATCCAAAGCAAAAGGCTACTAAGACACCCCAGAATGGTGTGCCCAAGCGGCTTACCCTTAGGAAGCATCTAGGCAAATAGTCTAAGTTGTGGGCTATTAGCATATAAAGAATAGTGACTAGAAGTAGGAGGTAGTCTTACGTTGACGAGATAGTGCGAACAGCGTCCTCGCTACAGCAAAAATATTCTCGTTGCATGATGACAAAGCAGAGGTCATGACCTTAATTTGGTTTTAGCATATATCTATCTCCAGAGATGAGATTCATTGGTTTCTTACCACAGCGTTGATCACACTTGGGAGGACTTTAACGCCAGTCTGCTGGCAGATGACTACAAAGGGCGATGATGCTGCAGTCGAACCGCCCTTTGAGACTGCGTCGAGCAGGGCCGGAGAATGCTGGCTGACATTGAGAGAGATAATCAAGACAGTGAGGAGGTACAGTCCAACTGGAATGGTTCTATTAGATACGTTTTCTCGCGGTTCGTGTTCTTCCACTTACCAATTCGATAGAAGACCGTTCTGACAGCCCTTCTCATGGTCTTCCTGGGATTGTGCGCTTCACCAGCCAGCACGCTAATACCCTCAATGCCACCAAACGCAAAGGCTGCTTGAGTGAGAACTTTCCAAAATCCGAGGAATCCTGCAAACGAGACTGGTGACAGGTTTGCGAATGTGTTATTGAATGGCTCGTCCCTCCAGTAGCGGCCGCCAGTGTATACACCATTAACTCCACCGAGGTCGGCGATTAGGCCAAACAATATGAGGGCAACGAGCATCAAAACTTTGATACAAGCAAATACAAATTCTACTTCACCAAAGTATTTAACCCCAAGGAGGTTGATGCCTATGCTGAGGACTAGGAAGGACGCAATGTACGCTGATACATGAGTCGTGACGGGATCCCAATAGCTGATCATAACGGCAGCTGCTGTGATCTCCGTCGGGACGGCGAAGCCGGTTTGCAAGATATAATTGATGCCCATGGCGAATCCTGCTTCGGGAGAGATGTATTTGGTGCCCATTTCGATGAAACCGCCAATATTGGGTGAATACACCGTCCTATACGCTAATTGTTAGCAAAGCAAGAATAGATAACAGCATGCATCACTTTGAGACATACATTTCGCCTAGACAAAACATCATCATGCCTACTAGACAGCCAACGATGGTGTAGCCGAGAAAGAAACCCACAGGGCCACCGTTCACTAGCGCAGCACCAGATCCTAAGAAAAGACCAGTTCCGATGGTACCAGCAACTGCTATCATGGACACTTGACGAGGTTTCTATCGACAAGTATAATTAGTCGATCTTCTATTTGTAGAATACGCATGGGAAAAACAAAACAATATTCAGTAACTCACCAGGTCACGCTTCGTGCCAAATTCTCCCTTGTGAGTCGATTCGGCTTCATTTTGGACGTCTGGGTCTGCGAAGTCTTGCAAAACACCGCTCGCCGCTCCAGGGCGAAAAGACGACACGGTCTGCAGATCCCGCTCATCCTTCTCTTTGGAATCTCGAAACACGGCCATTCTGTGGGAGTCAAATCGCTCGGATCTGAAATATGTCTGAGATTCTCTATTGGCTCACGGATAATACTGCCGAACTCAAAACGGATGGTGGTAGGACGTCGCGTCCGATTGCTCTTCTAATTGGACCAATGTCCTAAGAACACAGAGAAAGGAAGAGTGGCAAGATAGGGACAATGAAGCGTGATTGGTGCCGACAGGGCGGCTATCTCAGGGTTGCATTCGGATGCAAGCAATACTGCATGGTAACTCGGTTCTTCTTAATATACCTCCTCGCCTACGTCGTACACGCCTTCGAAAGAGCACTGCTTCTGCTTCAAACGCAGGTGGGGGAACTGAAGTGGACGAGAGAAGATCTTCCCCACGTCTGCTCTTGTGATAAAAGAAGCGAGCTAAAGACAGCTACCGAAAAGAAGTCCGGTTAATTGCCGATGGCAGCGATATCATGAGACTAATATGCCGATTTACATGGCTTATAAGACAGTGTGGATAGATTTGGGGATGGCTAAACGCTCAGCGGTTGTTCGTGGGGGCTTTTAGCTCAGAATGAAGACTGATAGCAGGGGCATAAACGGGGGGTTTGGGAGCTAGCTCCATGATAAGTCCTCCTCCGCATTTGAACCTTCTTCAGTGGGGTTGGAGAAGCAGCGGACGATATCCGTTGATGCATCCATGTTGTAATCTCTCATCTACGTGGTTGGTGATAGTAGAAAGTAGAGAATATCAAGCGTTACCCCAACGATAACATCCCCCACGTACGCGTATAGAGAATGGCCCCAATGGCCCCCATCCTAGTAGGAGAAATCCGGATTCTGGAAATGGCAATTGCCTTTGCCTACTACACAGTGCTGGCACAGCCCGTCGGATATTCTTTGAGGATCCTTGCTGCTCGTGACCCGATTGCAAGGGTATCAGTCGAAATGATAAGAATGCTCTTTGGCTAGTTACATATGTGGCCACGGTCATGTCCGTATCTTTACAGCCAAAGCAGCATGATCCCGTGTGTCGCCTGTAATTTAGAGCGCACTTCTACTATGTTAGATATCAGCTGTCACGGAGAGGCTTCACTATGTCAGATTTCAATCTGAAGCTTGCACATGGCAAAGCAACAGATCCTCTCGTGTCACTTCAAAGGCAATCAATCGCCTCCGACGGCCCTGATGGAAAACATAAACTCAAAGAAGTGGCTGAGGGCAGAGTTTTGCAACACGTGTGAACAATCATATTGCCACTTCTAGAAAGCCTGCTGAACACACGCATGCTTTCACACGCATTCCTATCATCCTATCGACCTATAATACCAGACCTGTGGCCGTTAGCGTCGGAGGCTTCATCTTGGTGCGCCGCCACGGTGATATAATTCGGTGCAGAGGCTAGACTACATGTATGAGACCCCACTAACACGTTTTACGGGGTAGTTGAAGGTGTTAATTTGCGGATGGCAGTATGGTAATTGGTTAGTTACAGAAATCTTCGGCATATTATCCGTTTTGTTGTAAAGGGATGCTCTATCTTGTTGCACTTGTTAATAAGCTCCGGTTGTCAAGTTGACTCTCTCTCTACATGTATCGCATCCATATAAGATATGCTAAGGCAGACTGAAAAATGCCTGAAAAAACCCCAGATACTAGCCGTCTATTTTTTAACACGGGGAATAACTATCAAATACAGTTCTTCATTCTTCAGCTCTGTCTGTCTCTCCAAAATAGAGCCGGGCGTTAGGCATACGTTCATGAGATATAGTTAAGAGTCCTAAATGGTCACGTCAAATTGCGCAACTTTGCTCTCCCAGAGACCACATCCCTTGTACCGCCTGCAAAACAACGTGGCCTTGCCATTCGCATAGTCAGGTAGCGCTACATTGACGCTGGTGAATCGTTGAGATATTGGTATAACAGGCAAATCATCCGCTATTGATGGATCTGGTATGCTGCAGCTCGGTATGATTTCAATTCCGTCGTAGATTCTGCCTTCCTCGAGTCTGATGAGAGCCTTGCCCATACGAATCACCGTGGGTCCATCCCAAGCGCCTTCACGATGTGGAACTCGTTTGAGGAGCTCGAGAACCATTCTCCGAAGACTTGGCTGACGGCACTTGGCAAGTGTATAGTAGAGAGGAGGTATGAAGCCCATATCAATGGTAAATGTGTTGTTGCCTGGCATCATAACAGCTTTTTTGCGAATATATTCTGCTACTTCGTGGAGCATCCTATCGCACAGAGTAGACGACTGTTTGACTAGTAGTTCAAAATCCTGTAGATGACTGTCGAATATCATTTCGTCGACCCCGCGTAAAGCAGTAGCCGCCATGATTTTTGCCATCGTGTGATGTAGGAATAACATTGGTACGCCGATTATATTGCGCCAAGTTGCGCCAATTGGACTTCTACTTAGCTCTTCGCGGCTTGACTTCAAAGTGATAAGGAACTTCGTCAATGCCGTCTCCAGCTTATTTTGGTTCTGGTACAGTGTCTCCGGGAAGGGCTGCCGCTCAAGAAGCAGCTGCGTAGCCTGTTGTGCTAGCGAATGCGATCCATTGATGAGAGAATCTATATGTTTCTTTGCTTCTCTAATGGATGAGAATGCTGGCGGTATGTCGTATGTTCGCGGTGCCTGACCAGTGTCCCCTACAAATAGAAGATATGCAGAAACGTGACCAAATAGCGCAGTTTGTAAATTAAGCCGCGAGAAAACCTCAACAAGCGTATCTTCCACAGATTGTGCGCGCGATCGTAGGATAATCTCATTATTGGTTGTGATTCCGTCGCGCCTCTGAATCTCATGAAGAATGCGCAGACCATTGCTGAGATGCGCATACCCGGCCTTGAAGCCTCCCCTCAACAACTCAATACACACAAATAGTAAACAAGTGATGAGGGACACTCGGAGGGCATCCCTGTCGGAGCTGTTTAGGCTCTGTCGCAGATGCTGGATTGCCTTGTTATACTCAATCAGCGAGATGTGTTCGTCGTTCTTGTGCGCTGCTCCCAGTGCCGTCACGGCATGCAGAACAGCTGGTTCCTGGTCACTTGCTTGAAGCACCAGAGAATCCCAAAATCCAGATTCGAACAGACCGGGGAGTTTAGTAGATGTATATCTGCGGAAGTACTCAAAGCCGATGCTCGCGGGTCGGCCCGCGATTCTATGCATCTGTGACATGGATACAATGTTCAGTGGGACCGGCATCTTCTTGTAATGGGTTAGAGACAATTTAGATAATGATGGAGCCTTATTGGAGCTTCCATAAGCATTTCCTCCTCCCCATATCCCATACCCATCACATACACGGCCAGTAGAGATACACCTCTGACATGCTGGCTTCTCCTCGTCGCATTTCACACGACGCTTTCTACCCACTGTGTGTTAGCAAAATACTATCATAAATCTCATAGTAATCCATAGAATGCGCATACTTGCAGGTCTGACATCCGGTCTTTACTTTCCGATTTCCAGTCTTCGCTTTAGGGACTTTGGAGAGCTTGGGCAACTTTTCCATTTGAGATTTAGTGATTTAGCCAGATTTCTTTAGTAATACTACCTATTTAGTATAATATTGTTATCATGTGTAGATTATATGATTAAAAAGACGTCTAACATTCATGGAGATGGATAAATGAAAGTAACCAAGGAGATGCTCGAAAGAACCGACTTTCATCTGCTGTGGGGCCATCCTGGAGGACTCGGATCCCTTTTTCGTTAGAGTAAAATGCGGATTCTCTGGCATAGTTGACTATTGGTTCGCTCGCAAACTCTGGCTTCTAATTGGCTGGCGCCCGGGTTGTTGTGTCATCTCTAGTGTTAGTATGGTGAGGTCCTAATCGTGCGCAACAAGATATGGATGGATACATGCATGAAGATAGTAACTGCTGATAATTAAAAGACATGAATATCTATATCAAGTGTAATGAAAGGTCTATCTATATCATGTCTCGCCTGCGATTATTCTAGCAAGCCCTTGCCACGAAGCTCTGTCTCAGTCCACTGCCACAGCTTCTCTGCCAGGCTCTCATCTTGTGCGTGCTTGCTTGGCGTTCCAATTTTTGCATATGGCACGATATAAGCTCCCGAGTCCGACTTCTTGAAGTCGCTACTAGCAATAGCGAAGAGTGAAGACCAGGCTCCTTTCTCCTGTGCATCCAGAATTCCGAGACACCTCATGACTGGTGTGACCGAACGGAGGACGAACCCTGGCGCAGTCCCGGTGGCTTGTTTGTTCAGATCACTAGCTTCTCATTAATCGTCTGGTGATAAATTAAGCCGAAATTCGGTGCCTTTAAGACTTACGTATTGATGTGGCCAGGATGCACGGCTGCAAACCAAACTGCCCCGTTCTGAGATTCGCTAGAATCGGGACCGTATCTCTTGTTTAGTTGCGCTGTGTGCAAGATGTTTGCTAATTTGCTCTGACAATATCTCTTCATAGAACCTTCTTTCTCTAGGCCGAGGTCTTCAAAGTGGATTCCGTCGGAAGGCGGAAACCTTGCGTGCCCATCCGATGTCAGATTGGCCAATCGGACAGTTCCTTCGGGGTTTGATCGAGCAGTAGATTGAAGAAGAGGAAGGAGATGATAGGTTAGGAGCCAATGCGACAAGTAATTGGTCTAAATGAATTTAGCCCGCTGAGCTTTTGTGTACTGTTGAATAAAAACGACAGCTTCTTAGATCTCCCGATAACGTACCTGTAATTGGATCTCATAGCCGTCTGCTGTCACAGAATAAGGTACACCCATGATGCCGGCATTATTAACGAGCCCATGCAGTGCAGTTTCCTCATCCCGAATCTTTTTGGCGGCAGCCATGACACTGGAAAAGTTGGACAAGTCGAGGTCGAGAAAATGAATGTCAGCCGACGGATACGTTTCTTGTATTTCTTCAATGGCAGCAATGGCCTTGTCTTTGCTGCGCGCACCCATAAAAACTTTGGCCCCGCGAGCTGCCAAACCAATAACGGTTTCTTTCCCACTAAAATTTTCTGATGTTATTTATTGGGTTTCTAGAATATGTCGCGTTCGGTGGTGGACATACCAGCCGGCGTTACCTCCTGTAACGAGATAGACTCGCCCTGAAAGATCGGGAATCGAGCTCGGTGAAAAGTTGGATGAAGGCATGATAATTGCACTGATATTATAGGGCTGAAATATCGAAAAGAGAATAATGAATCTTGCCCTTTTATTATTATTATTATTCATTTATTTCCATGGTCTATCGAAGTCGTCTCGTCACCTCGTACTTATATTCTCTATCATACTGTATTGTCATGGGTTACTTCTGAAGAGACTGCGAACAAAACTGAAGTCATTGTCCGCTCCGCTCAACTCACGTTACAGCATACATCGAGTTTCGGTGTCAGCCCAATTTACCTCATTTGGTTGGTATAAAACAACAAACCACGAGCTTATGGACCAGCTGCTAACTGTATGTTGCATGGGTCGCCACTAATGTCGGGTTCTTGCGCAGTTCGCTAAATGGATATAAGCGGCCGGTGAAGCAGCCGCTTCTGTCGGCTAACTCCGCAGAGTCATCGAAATTCCGCAGACGTAATAGGAGGCAGTAGGCAATACAGATTTGACCAAAATATCCATAATTTCGCCCTATGACTCCAAATTAAATATTATTGATATCACCAGTCTTATTGCAATGCATTTTGATTTGGATGTGTGCTTTGTTAATAATGCCCTACTTGGAACGAAGTTTTTCAAGAAATGTGGCATGTAAGAGCGAATACATGTATACAAGAGTAGGATTTTTAAAATAAATCATGAATGTAATTATTTCCATAAAAGGGGACTATATGAAGTACTCAAGCTGATACATATTCATCTCCATCTAAGCGGCAACAAAATGTTTTATCTTTAGCTATGACAGCTCATCCATAACGAACTTGAGCACCATCTTCTCTAAACCAATCGTCCGCTGCAGCCTCATTCCCAGAAGCATAATTAATGATGATACTTTTCGTCGTCGTATACGCGTAATATGCCTCAACTCCATTTTCACTTCCAACGCCACTTGCAGTAGTTGCTCCACCCCATGGGCTGCTCGGATCGTTCCGATGGTGCGTGTTCACCCAAACAATACCAGACTCAATCTGCTCAGATACTCTAAAAGCTTGACTTAAATCATCGGTCCACAGTGCTGCTCCCAAGCCGAATTCGCTATCGTTGGCGAGCTCTAGCGCTTCTTGTTCGCTTTCAAACTCAACAAGTAGAATGACTGGACCAAATGCCTCCTCGCGCCAGATTCTAGTCTTGGTAATGTCGCATTCTGGGCTGGAAGCCAAAATTGTTGGTGGGAAGAAATAGCCCTCGGCGAAATTCGTACCATCGAGTTCAGATGTACCAGCCATTCTCCTTCCGCCGCAGACAACTCTTGCGCCATTTGCAACAGCATCGTCAACAAGGTTAACGACATTTCCAAGTTGTTTAGATGATATAAGAGGGCCCATGGAGGAATTTGTGTTTGTAGGCGAGCCCATACGTCGTGCAATAGATCTGGCTTTTTGAGAAAGCTTCTCTTCTACGGTTGTGAGAATACTTTTGTGAATGATGATCCGAGTGGCTGCAACGCAAGTCTGACCAGTCGCGATGAATGATCCGAATGCGACACCATTGACAGCAAGTTCAAGATTGGCTTTTTCGAATATGATCAAAGGCGCCTTTCCACCTAGCTCTGCATTATAACGTGCCAAGTTATTACCGACAATTGAACCGATTGCTCTCCCGGCAACCGTTCCTCCGGTAATGTCAACTTTCCGTACAAGCGGGTGACTTACGAGGTCACGTCCCGTTGTAGCTCCAAGGCCGGGTAGAACGTTGAAAACGCCATCGGGAAGCCCTGCTTCTTTCAAAATCGGCCCTAATAGTAAACTTGTGAGCGGTGTGAGCTCGCTCGGCTTGAGCACAACACTATTCCCTGCCGCTAGAGCAGGGGCAAGTTTCTTAACTGCGATGAGCAAGGGATGGTTGAATGGAGTGATCTGAACAACAACGCCGAGCGGAACCCGTTCTATCCAGTTATGCAGCTTGCCCATAGTTGGTAGGACAGGGCGCTCTTCAGTGCGAAGCACAGCAGCAAAGTAACGAAACCAACGAACCAAGGATGGGACCTGGGCTTGCATCTCTCTGATCGCCCTTCCTGTCTGCTCCACTTCCAACGGGATTAGCACAGAAAGCCTCGAGGTGAGAAGTTCAGCTGCTTTATCCAGCACGTCAGCTCGCGTGTGTCGAGGAGCTTTGGCCCAGACTCCTGATTTGAAGACTTTGTGAGCAAGTTGGACAGCGTCATCGACATCCCGAGGCGATGCAGAATGGCATCTAGACAGAAAGTTAGAACATACATGAAACAGTTTAAGGAAATCAATTATTTAAAGAAAGAGGGACATCCTTACTCTGCAAATACCGCCATGTTTGCTGGATTTTCTACAGCTATGCTATGCAAGCAACTTCAGCTTCGTCTTATGAGCGTACATAGAGGTCGGTAGTATTTGAACTTACGGTTCACCAGTGCCCACTACTTCCCTGCCGCCCACCCATAGCATGTACGGCTTAGACATTCCGAGTTAATTTCCTGTAGTTTTTATAAACAAAATATTCATGCAGTTATTGTGACGAGGTGACTTTCTGCTCAGCACTGTCTAAGGTTACATACATGTGGATAATGGAGAGCTTATCGAACCGTGCGGGGAGAACTATCACGTGTCGTCATGCTGCAGGTATTTCAATGCCTGCATGATAGATAAGTCGTTCGCAATCTAATCGCCTTTGCTAATAGTCCATATATAAGCCTATTTTAATGAATGCGGCCGTTTATACATTCCTGACATAAACATGGCCAGTATGTAGTACTGAAACAACATGACTCGGAAGTCGGCTCCTAAGTAGCCGAGTACGAATAGCGCATGCATGTACAAGTGGTCAACAAAAGTGAGACAGACAGGCGACACACTTGAGGTCTTTCCGACAGCTGCAATTGATCTATGTAGTGTTTTATAATTATATACGGAGTGCTAGATAATACTTGATATACTTGCTGAAGACATCAAGAAGAGCATGGGCGCGAATAGACAACCATGCCTGTCCGATAAAGTTGCAATGAAGCATCGCTTTGCAGATATCATCGTCAACGCCCTTACATAGTCAATGCGACACCATTCGTAGACCAGAATTCACACCGCCGCTTCAATTCCGAGTCAACGCGGATCATTTCCGTCAGGCCCCCAGTTTGAAACGTCAGACGATTTTGTGCCTTGTCTCCCCACGCTTCCCACTTGGTATATTTGCTGGTGGAATCGATAGGCCGCCCGTTGGGGTTGTAATATTTGATGAAATTCAACCAGTAGTGTTGTATAGCGGACGAGGCATTGGCATTGATCTGGCCATCGAGGTAGCTCGCCGGCGCGTCGGGGAAATAGTTGGCCCCCCACAGAGCAGCCAGCTCGACAGTATGGGGAACGCCCAGCCCAGAGGCCATCTGCTCAGGATCCTCGACGTTCCATCGATATACCCAAGCGTTTTGCCCATGCTTCGCGACAACCGAGCTAACATACATGCCAGGACACATGTAACGGGCCTCTTGATACACATTGCTAGCATGTCTCCAATAGCAGCCGATAGCAGGGCAGCTGTTGTTTGGATTAGAGTACAGCTCGTTAATTTGCCCGAGCATATTCAATGTGAGCTCAGGATACTGGTCCAATACATAACTATTACTTTGTTGGATAGTGGCTGTATCCTTAGGAGCGAACTTGGTCCCTCCGTTGGTATCGTCGCCATAGATAGTGGGAACTTTGATGAACTTTCCTTTTTGAAATGTTCGATATGGGAAATCCTGTACAAATTCGTGGTCGAGCACAGGCAACCACATATAGTTGGGTGGCTTGGAAGCACCTGGCAAAGGAATATTGAAGTTGCTTGTTTGAAGTTCCACCGCTGTCTTGTTTCGCATACAAGTGAGGCTGTCCTTGCCGACGCAGCCCACGCGAGTTGCAAATTGGGTGTACATGTATTGAGACTGAGTCACTGTAAGAGTTGTAGCAAAGGAAGGAGACTCAGCAATAGCGGCATGAAATTGTCCTCGGTCGGTGCCGTTGTTGGCGGTTAGATGATATGTGACACTGGCTGCCCCGGCACTGCTTCCACCAAGAGTAACGTGATTTGGATTGCCGCCAAATCGAGAAATATGCTTCTGCACCCAGTCCAAGACTTTTTGCTGGTCACGGAGGCCATTGTTAGGAAGTATTTTATCGCTGTCCGTCATGAATCCGTATGGACCAACGCGATAGTTGAGGCTCACCACCACGATGCCGTAGCCGCTGTTTATAATCAGACCTGACGCGTTTGTGTTGGGGTTCGAATTGAGACTGAAGCCACCGCCCTGGATGTAGAGGAAGACTGGGAGTTTTGAACCGACTGTAGCTTGAGTCGGAGCTTGCACGTCTAAAAATAAACAGTCCTCCGATGTATCCGTATCTGTAGGTGACCGACCAGTCCCAAGACAATATTTACCGTGCTATGCAGTTTATCATTGAGTGATATTTGCCAATTTGCGCTACTATGGGCGTGGAAACTAACCTGTGTGGCATCTTGTATGCCTTCTGTATGGGGAGGATCCTGTGGCGGCGCAAATCGCAGCTCACCCAGCGGCGGTGCTGCATATCGAATTCCTAGCCATTGGCTTACGCCATTTGGCAGAGCTTGTCCTTTATATATAGAATAGCCAACATTAACCGTCTCATCGACGGCTTCGGCTATTGAAAATAAGAGGGTAGGTATGAGAAGTCGCGGTACCAACATTTTTGTCGTCTGAATATCAAGACGCGGGAAGTTCCCATCCAAACAGCAAGGTCTCGGACGCGACTCTCCCTCGATATATATACATATGTACTATATATATGCAGGATCCGCTGGGCGTTCTACGTAATTCTGGATCCTACTCGCCCTACTCGCCGACGAGCTGATCACGCCCCATGGTCATTCTCCCTGCAGCTCCTCTTCGAGCTTGATTGCAAGCTCTGCCTGCGGTAGACAAAGAGATCCCGTTGGAAGTGTGGGGTAAAACTGAAATCAAGTTCTTGCTCCCAGTTCGGGGAGGGAATGACTTGAAGGGCGGGCGGAATTACATGACCGTTTGCGGACCAAACCGGGCTGACAAGAAGATGGAAAATATGAAATTGGGCAGAAATAAGTAACATGTATACTCCTTCTTCGTACTTCTGGGCGGAAGCGGCTGTAATAGCACGCATTAAGAGCACTCAGCTTAATACAAGACAAAGCTGTTGGCGGCTTTCGGAACAGCTCTGAGCCATGGTCCCGCCACCGCCGTCACTCAAACCTCTCCGATGTGGAGACGAGCCTCGAGTGTATTCACTTTGAGGTCTCACAAGACTCAACAATCAATGCCCCATTAGGCAGCTCATGTAGATGGCACTCTGTTAAATGCCGTAGTTCACTAATCAAGTCTGGGACGCCGGAGTATCATTAGGATCTAGCCTTACCCATTAAGCTTAAAAGACAGGAATAAAGCGACTTTCTTTTCTCCAGGCATAAGAAAATGAGAGACGTTTGCATGATAAAATTGGACAACACTGTGTAACCGCCAAACTACCGCGGCCCGACTAGCGGTTGGCACTGAGACAATCGGAAATGAATTAATCAACTGACAACTGGGTGATTGGTACTACTACTACTACTACACCCTTGGCATTCGCGCTTATTTTAAGAAATGGAAGAATCCAGTCCTTATGCTGGTGAACTAACATGGCTTTCGGCACTTGGTGCAAGATATTAATAGTTAGGCGCTGATCCTCTAGCCCTGCATGCAATCCTATTTTCATCTCAGCCAACATTCCGATTTCTTCTGCTTTACCAGAAAAGAAGGAATGCGTAAGTTGGAATAATCTGTTCACTCTGATTAAAATAGATCGGGCTAAGTGGGAGAACAGTCGAAGGATCCATGTATACTAATCTACTATGCCACTATCGAAATAATTAAATAGTAGATAAGCTGGAGGCTTCCCCTTGCTGAGGAAGCCCATAGGATTTTCTTTTTTCTATATGCTATACCGGTCTGTTTCATCGTTCGCAGGACGATACAAGAAATAGTCAAACGTGGCTTTCTTCTCCGTTCCATTCAAGTCCGAACAGGCCACGCCGACGAAAGATCCCGTGAAGCTGCCATGTGCCTGATGGCCACCACACTCGTCTGAGACAATTGAGGCATCTAAAACAGGCCCAAAGCTTTTTAGCGCTTCCTGCTCGCCCTTGTCCACGAGGACGGCATAGTAGAACTGTAATTTGCTCCCACGAATGGTGGCCGCAAGCTTGATCTTGCCTTCCTGAGGAAGGGCTATGGCATAGGCGCTCGAGCCGCGATCTGTGAGCTTGCCCTCTGGCCAGGATGCCTCTGATCTCATAATCTGGAGCTCACGCTGACCGTCCGAGTGTGATGTCACAACGAGATAGAAGAAATTGTATCGACAGTAGTACAACGTCAAGCCGGCGAATTGACGTTCATCCTCGGGTAAAAATTCAATGACTGTTTCAGCATCGAAAGAGAAATGCGTCTGTCTTCGAGCTACGAGTGACTGTTCAAACCAAGAGCCGATGGATTCTCTTCCTGTAAGCACAAGCTTGCCGTCTTCGATGCCGAATATGCGTTCTGGCTCTGGCGTGCGCAACCATTGGAAATCTTTGTGAAGCCCATCTTTGAATGTATAACGTTTTTCCTCCCAGTAGACGTTTTCATCACGCACTCCTGGCACATCAACCACCAATGATGGAACTGGACCATTCTTAACGTACAACCAATCATCGTCGCCCCAGTATGCTTCTTGTATGGCCGTCTCTCGCCCCAACACGCATCTTCGTTTCTGTCCAATTGGCCGACCGGCAAGATGCACCAGATATGATTTCCCATCTGGTGTTTCTACAAGGTCGGCATGGCCAGCTCTTTGTAGAGCCGCAAATGGAGTGTCCTTGGAAGATATGATGTGATTTTGTGGGTGAAGTTCATAAGGACCCCAAATAGATTTTGATCGGGCAAGTGTCGCAGCATGCTCGTATCCAGTGCCCCCTTCAGCCGTCAAGAGATAGTACCATCCATTTCGCTTATATAGATGCGGTCCTTCTACCAGTCCCAAATCAGTACCGTGGAAAATAATCTTTCGAGGGCCAACCAGCTTGCGCTTGATCGGATCGAACTCTTGTAGCGCAATCCCTGAAAAGGTATTCGGTCTTGCTCGATGGTCCCAGGTCATGTTGACAAACCATTTGCGGCCGTCTCCATCGTGAAAGAGGGAGGGGTCGAACCCAGATGAATTGGCGTAGATAGGATCAGACCAGGGACCTTCAATCGTAGGCGCCGTTACGATATAATTGTGCGTATCTTTGAACGAGCCATCCTTGCGCTTCACATCGGTATAGACAAGCCAAAACTTATCGCCATCATGCGTCAAGCAGGGAGCCCAAACTCCGCAGCTATCTGGCTCGCCGCGCAAATCGATCTGGTTTCGGCGGGTCAAGGGACGCACTACGAGCTCCCAGTTCGCCAAATCCTTGGAATGGTGTATCTGCACACCGGGATACCACTCAAATGTCGATGTAGCAATATAGTAATCCGCACCAACCCTCACTATAGAAGGGTCGGCATTAAATCCCGGCAGGATGGGATTGCGAACCAATGGCATGGCGAAGAAATGATATTATGCGTTATGCTATTGGAGTCTCTTTCAATCAAAACAATTTCCCAGTTTGCAATCACGTCGAGTGCATCTTCTACTCCTTCTCTCCGAGCCTTCTTTTAATGGCTATTATGGAAAATCGGCTTCATGAGGAGAAGGTTGCATGTGCTTAGCCGTGCGGAGACGTCTTCAATTAGGCTAATCACGCAGACCTCTATCGTCTGCATTTTGCGGTGCCGCTACCGTAGCTTAGTTTTCAAGGTTATCATGAAACAAGTGCTGTCATAAAATACTAGTCAGAATAGTAGGGCCGCCAAGATTCTTGGCTAGAAACACTCCACTCTCTTGGTATTTACTTACCTGTGTTCACTTCTTCCACGAACATCTACAAAGTACGTACACCTGAAAAGTATATGCGCCGAGAGGCTGCTAGAAATTCCATTACTGTTTCTATTCTTCCCAATCAATGCATATGATATAGCCCACCATGTACACCGCCAAATCTTTTGATACGCCTCATTAAACCCAATTTGCCCATTGACCGCAGTCCCGCTTCGGTCTCCATTTACCAAACAAACATCTCTTCAAAGAGCTCAACGTCAACGTGAACTTTCCTTGTCTGCCTAATCACGGCCTGCCGTGTTGTGTCAGCAATCTCAGCCGGGCCGCAGACAAATACGGCCGCTCGGCCTTGAGATTGGTTTACAAAGTTGTCAATCATCGAGTGAATATCAGGACGCATTCTCTTGAACCTAGTGTCAGAAATGGCATTTCCTGTTTCCTTTGACACTGGTGTAGGAGTAGAAGTTCCCGAAGCTCCCGAAGTGATGTAGAACTCCATGCTAAGTTTCGATGCTGCCAAGGCAGATCCCTCAGTAGCTCTGAGGTCATTGGCAAGCACGTCTCGAACGAAACCCTCGTCTCGCACGGCCCAAGCTAGGTGCACACTCGGAGGTGTTTGAGATGCTTGGTCTTCGAAGAACATACGGAGGTACGGCAGCACTGTCGTGATTCCACTGCCTCCGGCAATGAAGAGAATATCGTCGAAATGGTCGAGGCGCGCAGGAGTACCATATGGACCCTCAAGGAAGACCCTGACACGAAGCGGGCCGGATTCACCTTTGCTCACTAGTTTGTCTCGTAGTCTTTGAGTCATTCCATCCCGAGGGCGGATCATGAAGGTCATGTGCGTATCGCCTTGTTCCGAGTTCAACTCGGTCACGCGAGGAGATTGTGTGCCCTTCTCCTTGTCGCTTGGCTGATCGCTGCTGCTGTTGTATGTTGAAACATCTTCAATCTGCCTGGACCTTCCAGCCAAAGTGAATGGGTGTGTCTCCCAAAAGCGCATTCCTGGAAAGTATACGAAATAATAAGTTCCCGGAGTTTGGCGGCTGCTGTTGATAGAAGGCTTGACCTGAAGTCGAATCATGCCAGTCTCTTCGCTGTAACTAGCCATTGCTAAGGAGCCTTGTCCGAGGAACGTCTTATAATTCATGACAAGAACTCGCAGCAGACGAAGGACATGATCACCTGCCCATAGGCCAACGCAAGCCCAAACCCAGACCTTGTACATGCCTTTGAATTGGTCCTTGATGTGACTAGCATTTTATTAGCAAATGAAGATGCAAATTAGGCTTTTTAGTCTTACTAAAACAATGCGGCAATGAAGACAGCCGTCAGCGAAATGTGAGTGGCTTTAAAAAATTCGTAGATTCGGTTGCGAATAGGGCCAATGGCAAAAGCTGCGGAAATTCCCAATGAAATCACCATCTAAATTCTATGTAAGCATCTTGAAGGCGGCCATCGTGTATACAATTGTAGCTTACAAGAAGTCCGTAAAGGAAAGTGGGATCAGAAGACAGCTCCTCGTGGTAGCCATCCCATCCCTGTTCTATATGATTGTGAGCATCATTTCCTTTTGAGCGTGGTAAAAGTACACTTACCATTGACATAGTAAGCTGAAAATACGATACCGTGAATAACACCCTCCAAGGTTAAGATCAGTGCTATCCAGCGATGAAAGATACTGAATGTCCTATAACTCCATCCGGTGAGGTAAATGAAGATGTTTGATCGTCCAGCAAAAAGGAAAAGTAATGGCAGCTCAGCCGTCATGAAGATACCAAGTCTATCTCCTAAAATTCGGCAAACTTGGCCTGTGATGGTTTTGTAGCTGACAATTTGTTAGCAAAGTATTACATAGAATCATGGCAGCCGATAGTGATCCATACTAAAAATTATTTGAGAACACAGGGTAATGAAAAGCTAGCATGAATATTTGGGTGATGATATAACCAGCGATGACCATGGATTGCAGCCGAAGCGGAACGATGAACCATCCCAAGGGCTGATGGTGATGGTATGAGAATGTAGGTGCCATCATAAGGTTGCGATGGAACCATCCTTTTATTTTCGCTGCTGCGTTGTTCTTTCGGACTGGCTGGTTTGAGCGTTTCACTGGAATCGATGCAATTGCGTGACTGACTGTGCCCAGGAAAAGCACCAATCCCCAGTAGGCATAAGGGATCCATCTATAAATCATCTATTAGCGAATGCACTAGAGGAACGGGTGCCATAGTAAAGTTATTTACCTCAACTTCTGGTGGTATACGATGTTAGTCCAGTAAGTGAGGACACTTCGATGAACCTGGTTCCAATTCGACTCCGAGGGCATCGACACAGCATCAACGATGGCCTTCTGCCCTTGATCCACAGTGGGAAGGCTATTAATGTATGCTTGCGTGACATTGGCGGTGGCGCTTTCGTATGATTTGAGGTTGACCACCTTAGAAGACTTCTTGCATGTCGAAGCCCACCAGTCGATACCTGGTGCTATTTCCTGTTCCTCACAGTGTTCCCAGATGCATAAATACGTTGACGTGACACGCAACGGGTGAGTGCAAAGTGTTTGCTCTGTCGTGTTATCAGAGGCGAATTTGGCCTTGCTTAACGTGTAATAGCAAGAAGCACCGCAAACCTGTTTTCCGAGGGGCTTAGCCGCCAGAGCACAGACAGCGAAAAGCAGGCATACGAGGTAGTGTATTCGTGACAGCATCTTGATATCTTGATCCCGTAGGGTGGTCTACGATGACTGAGAGCTGATAGCCAGGGAATAGAGCTCTTGCGGCAGAGGCCATGATATATACGCCTATGTAACCCGGGTCTCGAACACTTTTACCGGATACACTAGGTATCCACACAGAACTTGGCTACGGTGGACTTATGGAATATTCAGGTAGTATCCGAGGTATCAATAGTGTATCAACGCTTCTCTATCCACACGAATCTGGCAATAAACTTGGCCAGGGCCACTACCGAAGCTTAAACAGTCCACATTTCGGAGGAACTAAAGCTATGGCCTCGACTCAGATATTACAATGTACATCGGAGTCGGATTTCGGGACAACGTTGTGTAGGGCTAGGATAGAGTCGGTAGGGGTACCTAGCTCAGATCTCAACAACCAAAACGAAACAATGCGTGAGTGAGTGTGTGCGAGAAAGTTAAATCAGTAACTGCCCTGGAACCTTGAGCATAATGAGAATGGGCTGCGGAGCCTGCAGGCTCTCTCGCCCGGGCCTGGATGCTAGTAGTAGTTCCAAACGTGTGGGGACAGCGCCTAGACTAAACATTTGGACACCTTCCCAACCCGTCTTGCTTGTAATGGTGATTAAGAATGAATGAGACGAAGCAAAAGCGACATTTACTTTAATTAGAATTACCAATGCAACGGTAAGCGGTACCAAAAGGGACATGCGCGTGACATACGAGGGCCAATTCAGATGCGGAAAACTGCCATCTCGATGCCACACTGCTTCTCACGAAAACAGTTTTTCTGGCGGTTCCCGCATGATAATCGGGACCGCCGAGGTCGCACGCCGTTTCCACGGCTTAAGACCAACTATGTGGGTAGAACTGGATACAAGCCCAGGGGTGGTGGAGTGATGATGCCCGCTAGAGATTAGATGGATTGATAAGATGATCAGATAAAAATTTTCACAACCTGCTACATCGCAAGTATATAATCTTACTCCTCTCTTACTCATGTGGCTCCATTGAATCCCGCCCTCTTGATTGGCTTGTTAGGTCCCAATCTGGCATTCTGTTTGAGCGGAGCCCACAAGAAACCGAAAATGCCTCGACTTGTCTCTCTCAAGCACGCCATTTATAATCGTCCCCTCTCAACAAAGCTTTTTTTCTCCATTTAAACCCAATGCATGAGGTCGAGATTTGGCAAATTGAGCCGAAAGCCGCCTGGCGAACTGCGGCATGGCTGGAAGCTCAAGAATTTGCCAGAATGAAGAATGGTGGAGGGAAGTCGTGCAGTCTCTCGTATGCCTCGTCGTCATAGCAGGTGACCCGAATAATCACACCGGTTACCCCATACTATAAATTAACGGCCACAATCCGTCGTTCAAAGTAACATTAGCCTAGGCTGTTAAAATGAATGCCAACAGGCTGTCACCGACGTCAAATACCGGTTCCAGGTTTTGAGCTCTTGAAGGGGGGCCACAACCCTGGTCACAATGCCACACCTAGGTTTTGCAGCCGACCGACTACGGCAAAATACTTGACGCAAAGTCTTTCCGGGCGAGCGGCCGGGGCACGACAGGCTCTAGCTACTGTCACCCACACAGATATATAGGTACTGTGCTGAGATAGGCTATTGGATGGGGCACCAAATGCCGCAGATCGATAACGTTGATGGAGGTATGGCCAAGCACTGTCATTCAGGAATTTCGCCGAATTTGCCGAGTTTGGAAGTCTGTTCGCTTCTATGACTGCTTTGGTTTCGTGTATATGCGAGCTTTCGTTATTGATTACTATAAACTCTTATGGACTCTTATGGACTGATGGTTGCATATACGCGTATAGAGATGCTTCTTACGAATTTGCAGCAGGACGACGACGTGATGACTCGGAATATGGGTCTATCCGAGGAGTATCTCCGCATCTATATCGTTTTTCTATATATAGCTCTGGGGAATGGAGAATGCAACGCTGCGGATGACTGCGGATGATGTTATACAATCACTTAGGCCGTCGCAGTATATAGCCAAGCCGTCGACTCCGTCATATCAATATTTAGATTATTTATCTACCTGAGAAGTACGGATACGATGAATCATACTTTGCGCCGCTGTATGGTTGGCGCAGCAAAAATGCCGTAGCTCCCTAGACCAGTAAACGTGGCATAGCAGGGCATTCGCACAGCTTGCTATGCGTAAAATCAACACTTTTTTTTTTTTTACCTACCACTTCTGATTACCGCAATTTTGCAAAGTAAAGAGAAATAGTGAGGAAGAACAGAAAAACATGCAGCCTCGATATCACAGATCGATCTTGGCAGCAACGACGTTGTAAGAATGATAGCTCGAGACAAAGAGCCACGCGCGTCGTCTGCCTTGCTCTTCTTTGGGATCAATAGCCAGCAACACAGAGGCGCTGGCGGTTCGGACTCTTTGCCCGTCATCTTGGAAGATGACTTTGACATCCCAGTCTTCCTCCCCTTTTGCAGCACCTTCTTCTTTCTGTCCGCTGAACCTTGGCGAGGCCATCCACACCATACTAGGATCCAGAACACTCTCCATTGCCTTATTTTTCATCCAGTCTACGGCTCTAGTGGGCCCAGAGGCAACAACCCCGCTTGCATCGAAAGTCTTGTTAGCATAAGGATCCTTGAAATAGGTTGGATTGTCGATAGGTATGCCAAATTCGATGGTTTTGCTGACGTCGATGATTTTCTCGGCTTCCTTTCCCTCGAGGATTTTGCCCACATGCATGAGACCGCTGCCACAGCCGGTTACGAACACTTCATCTTCAGTTCGACCGTGTCCGATCCCGTTTAAGTTATGCAGTTTGTCCAGTGCAACTGACGCGTGGACTCCTGAGTCATCATCTTCAACCGGCTTCAGGTCCTGGACCTGGACATGAACAGTATTTGTGCGTGTGATTAGAGTCGTAATATCTTCCAAGGCGCGTAGAAATCCGGTCCTGAAGTAGTGATCGTTGGTTACCAAAAACGACGTTGGAGACATGGCAAATATGTCATTTGGCGTCGTGATGAGAGGATGCCATATAGTCCTGACGTGACTTGCTTTGCCTGATCCAACAACGTGACGGAACAGCTCCACGACTGAATAACACCGCGGAGCATTGACATCTCCATTCTCACCATAATGTTTGGGATTAGGCCTATGATTAACCGCAAATATGTAAACTGCTTCGCCCTTTGGCTTCTCTGGGTCATCAATGACATCAATGCCATGAGTCACGAATGGACCGCTAAAGCCTTCAAGCTCCAGAACCTGCGCCTTGAATGTCTGCGCTGAAGTGTTTAATATTTTTTTCTTACTCTATAAAATATACCTTAGTCATCACTCTTACCTTTGGATCAATGATTTGGAGATTTCCCTTATGGAGCCCAGGGTTTGATGGCTCAAAAAAGTGGTCGATCGGAGGGAACCATTTCAGACGGCTCCCTTTGAAGCCTTCGCAAGCAGTGAAGATTAGACCGGTAGAGTCGTGATAATGCAGGTCCTCGCAGTGTAATGTGCTGTCAATAACAATAAAATCTCCAGAAGCCAATTCTGTGCTTCCTGGTTGTCGAAATGCGCCAATTACAAAGAGCAGTCGCTGCAAATAGGCGTTGTATACATAGCCGAGTAGCACAGCAAGCAGCACAGCGGCGATGGAGGCGCGGGACGCCATGGTAACGAACACGCAAATAGTAGATTCTCTACAAGGGCATCAACAGGAGAAAAAAAAATTTGGAAAAACCGGTGCGACGCAATTAAATATTATGTTATTGTCCACGATATAAAAACTGCGACGCTGCGTCACCCCGGCTCGTAGGAATGCGGGGGACCGAGGCCCAGAGCTGGGGAAGCCTTTCTTATACAAGGTGAGGTAAGATAGTATCACATAGTTACTCCGCACGTCTGACTGGCTTGTAAAGCCACTTGTATAGGAACAAAGCGGAGATTTTTCTTCAATCCAGTTAATGATTGACGAGCAATTACCGGAAAGAGACTGGATTGGAGCGAAAAAGAAAAAGCTATAGAATATCAAGAGTGGTGATTGGCTCGTGCACGCGTCGGTTGAGCTGCGATGCTTACACGTATGTTCTGAGCTAGTAGTTGATACGACTATAGCGTTGCACGTTCTCCTAGGGTTGACGGAATACAGCAGGGTTCGCTCAAAATGGAACTTTGAATTTATTTATTTCTCTTTCCCTCGCTTGCTTCTTGTTATCACACCTGCAAACCAAGTCTATTTCATGTTCTGTAGCAAATACTTCAAGCCTGCATATGCTTCCTCTCCGCTGGGTTGGATCTGGCTAGCGGGAAGGACGAAGCCGTATCTGCCAGTATCTCGAAGCTCAGAAGTAAAGGTATAGTCCGATCCGATGACATCATTCACATAGTCAACGCTGGAACCAGTGGCTTGGTAGATAGTCGAGCAGATGGGGCCGTAAGCAAACGACGTTCCATGGACGGCCCTAATGGCGGCAACAGCGCCCTTGGCGAGAGATTGCAGCTCGCTATCGTTGGGAGCGACGGCGTCGCAAGAGTATCCATAGGCTAGAATCACGGTTAGTATTTATCTTTAGCTAATTATGAAGTCATCTAATACTTACGAGTCATGAAGAGTTGAGAGTAAGAGTGATAGTCGATATATAACTTGAGGCCTTGCGCATTCTTGATACCTTGGATGTATGAAGACAGAGCCTTGAACTCGACAGTGTCGCCCGCACTAACACCTTTGTAATCCTCGGCACAGGGATCGGTGGATGCGCCTCCAGGAACATCCCACATGTAGTTCCAGTTCCGGTTGATATCACGACCGACACATGAGCTTCCAGAATTTGTTTGGCGGTTCTTACGCCACAGACGGTCGCTGGTCTGGGTATATAAGAATCCTACAATTGTAAGTATTAGGATTGCATCGCACGAGATATGTCAAGAAGCTTACCATCAGGGTTCACTACTGGGAAGACGTAAAAGTCATATTTGTTCAGAAAGCTCTTTGTTGTAGCGTCGGTGCTTGTTAGGAGAGTATAGGCAAAGTATTCGACAACCATGGTAGCAATCCATTCTCTAGCATGAACAGTTCCGTGCAAGATGACGGCCGGATTCGCACCTTTACCTCCGCTCCCCCAGAAGTGAATGCCAGTAATGGGATTACCGTTCAAGGAGTTGCCAGAGGTGACAATCTCCGAAGTGTTGGGAAACTGTGTGTGCAGATCTGTGAGGAACTGAAGGTGGTCTGCATAGGCATGGTATGAGCTGAACCATGTGCTGTTGACGGCACCAACAGCGTAGGGCTGGAAAGCAGCTTCTTCCGCAATTGAGGCACCGAGATTCTCGTGCATGACGATGGTCTTCAGACCGAATGTCTCTTTATTGAAAGCTTCCAGCTGGCTAGGCTCGACAACGATATCTGTGAAGGAGCCTGTTTTCTCAGCAGACTTCCACGTCTGAAGATTCAACTTATCAATAACGCCATTAATACGATGAATATTGTCGCCTTCGACAGCTAGTCGGAAGACCTTGTATCCATCATAAGACACCTTCGGGGGGTGGACAGCGGCAGCCAATGCCGAAGCAAAGAAAGCCGGTAGTAGTGCAAGAGACTTCATAGTGAAGGCTAATGGGATCAAAGAAATTTCACTTTGTGCACCGGTAGTACCGAGCGAATGTCTTGGCAGAGGCTGACGTCTTTCTCAGTTCAGTACGTTGGCGTCTCGTAATATATAGTCAGCACTTTTGCATCATTTAGACCGACTATATTTTCTTGTTATTGGAATCAAAGTCCGTATGAATACGCCTTTTTACCACGATTAGAAGGTAGTAGCCGGGAATGGAAAATACAGCGATAGCAAGTTGCGCCAATAGCCCAGTCAAATAAACGAGAGCAGTGCAACGCTGTAAAGCGATGAGTAGCAAACAAATAGCAGCGAAAAAAGATCTTATTACCTCTAGAGCTTAAGACCGAGGATGATAAAATGCTCTGACTTGCTCGTTGATTGGATCACGTCTAGAGGGTCCGCATTCACGCAGATCCTCCTAAAGTCCTCCCCGCTCACGGCTTTAGATCCCAGCAATGCTTCTGGGCTTTGAACTAAGTGAGTCTGCTTGAAGGAACTGCCGAAGAAGGCTGGTTTTCCGTGAATATGTAGCAGAGGGGGGGTCGAATTTAACAGCAATCGCATAGCACTTTGGTCGACCTGCCAGAACGAGACGCGCAGATTCGCTCCACGCGATGGGACTTTTGGCAGGCAACAGTCGATCACAAATAGAGAAAGATGCGAGGCCACCAAGAGCTGGGGCTGATGCAATAAAAAGCTTAAGCTCAAAGGGCGAGTGGCAAGCCTCAAGTGTCTCTAATAGCCCGCTGCTTTCTAATGACTTGCTGTCTCACTACATGTATCATTCCCTCCTCTTAGAGTTAATACATAACGTGGCAGACAATGTCTTATCTTTGGACTTTGAACGCCATTCCCGAGCATTTATAGCGTATTTCATGCAAGCCGCCCTTCAAAAGTGCCCTGTGGTTATAGGCCCTTTGCCTCCGCTTAGGGTGGTACCGAATGTGACGGTATGCCAACATGGACCAAGTACCGCCAACCAGGCATTGATAATTATATATTGAGGCGCTCTAAAGTTCCTTTTAAGCATGTTCGAGCTAATCGAGCACTAGGGTTTCCTGCAGCTATCCCACTCGGCACATATAATTGGCAGCTTCTGCGTAGTTTGAGTCGGAAATAGCACTGTGGCGCCACTCAACAAGCTGTCACCATAATCTAGTTCGGGGTGTTGATTACAGTAGCACAGTGCCAATGTTCACAAAAGCCTGCGTACGCCTTGTGGCGGAGGGCTATGTGTTTGTTTTCTTTCAAACTACAGCTTTGTGTAGCTCGGCGATAGAATCCGGAAGTCAATATTCTCTAAGCCTTATGTATATGTAGGTCGCGGCTACCAAATCAGCTAATAACAATCAAGATATAGGCAAGGGCAAGGATGAAGAATGACAATGGAGATAGCAGCACCCTACTCATCTGTTACTAAAAACCTTTCCAGCAAAAGTGCATTATCCGGAGTCATGCAAATCTAATGGCATTCTTATTTTTCAAGTTCGATATTATTCAGAGATTTTTTTGCACGAATGGATTTCGGTGCAATTTCTGTGGTACTTTAGTGGGAAATATAAACTGATTTCAAGGAAATCTCGTACAGTGTGCGTGTAGAAATAGAAGGTAGTAGCAAGGGCAGATATAGGTAACCACTAGTAGAATAGATGGCGTGAAAATCGAAGCACTACGTAGAAATAAGAAAATACAGAGCATTATTATCTCTCTCTTGCCGCTTGCTGGGGCAATATCGCCAGTGAAGCGCCTATCGTCAAGCTTCGCCTTGGCGATTGATTAGCGAGCTTCCGACCCGTCTTGGTATCTTGGCTTCTTGGCTTCTTGGCTTAACGATCGAATAATTTTATTGGGGAAAAGAAAAAGAGCCCTGTTTTTGAGAGACAGAACTCTGCAGAATTCTCTCTCTCCTCTTGTGGTATATGTAATAGTAGAACGCTTACTAACTGCCGATTCCTTCGTCGTCGATTTGAACAAGTTATTATGCAATTACACATAATTGAGGGCAATCACGAGCCCTTCTGAGCATTGATGGCGCTAGCTATGGCAACCCTTTACCACAGTATATGTTCGTGCTCTATAATGTAGTTATATCGACAACTAAGTACAGCGAAAAAAATTTAAATTTGAGATGTTGTCATGTCGAATTTATATTCTTTTTTGGGGCGATATGCTACGGCAGTCGGCTGCTCCTTTATTGCGTGCTGCTTTGGGGATGAAACCTCGGAAGTACAAGTGGAGGCTGCTGCGGGAATTTGATCATAGTGTCAGCGGCAGTGCCAATAACCCAAGACTGCTGCGCACAAAACGCTTGTATCCATCGTAAAAAGGCTAGGAGTTAAGGCATGAGGAACAGAAAAGTATAACAGAACGCTGCCGAGCGAAATCTGAATAGCAGCGCGCTTTCGACTGACATGCAGGAAAACAAGGAGCCGTCAACGAAGATGGTGTGAGATATCACTGTTAGCTTTTCAAAACATGTCACAGCGCGCTGTGATGCATGGAATAAGCTTTTAACTTTCATTAGCATCAACCACTAACAGCTGCTTATTTCATCCAGCATATTTGTAGATCACGTAGATCGGTCAAATATACATGTATAAGTACATTGATATTTCAGTTGAAGCATCCGTATTGCCACTCACAATGCTATATTACAGCCATTGGAAAGTATAGTCAGTATTCATTATTCATGTTGAATTTCTTGCGGGAATGCGAGCGTGATCTAGACCCAGAATATTGATACGGCGTGCCAAGTAAACAAAAAGCCGCTGTAGCCGGCGGCGTCAATGCCGAATGAGTTTTAGGACCGTATTAGCTCTTCTTACTACGCCGTAATGAGGGCAAGGGTAATCTTAGCTGAGGTGGCGGGCGTCTACTCCCCTGAACGGGGGCAATATTTCCGGCAAGGCCCGCACACAAAGCGGTCCAGGAAATCTGGCAGCATGAAACTAGGCGTAACTAGGCGCTTCAACAGCTGCAGGCAGACTTTTTCTCTCCTGGCAAAAGGGGACAGCGCTCGAGTTGTTTAGGAGATGACTTCCGGGTTGATACAGCTTGAGCCCGTTGTGACATCACGACACATAGAGCAGCCCTATGGACTTCTTGGCTGCAATAAGACCTTTATTTATTTTTTTCCGAGTGCCGGTGTTCCGGACCAGTTCCTCCACTCTATTCTTTGAAACGCACCTCTTGCGAAGGAGTACTTAGCATCTCGTATCTACATATAGTAATACGTGCAAATTCTTACAGACTATGGGTACTAGCGCGGGCTGGTCGCAGAACATGACGATGGTTAAGAAACACTAGGTATTAGAGCCATAATAGTACTGCCCCTTTTCTGCATGTTATTCCAGGGCGGACGAATAATACTACTTGAAGCACCAGGTGATGCTCTGGATTGACAGCTCGTCTACGTCAGATACTTGAGCATTGGTGGCGTATTATCACACCAGACTCTGTAGCCAAGAAGTCAACATGGATATCCCGCAGGCTAGCGCTTACCAATTCTTCCTTCGGTTATCGTTTATATGATTAGTCCCGTCCCCCGTCTGCAATCAATATAGTAGTAGTCCTATTAATGGCCGCGTTTCGTGGAGACGCTTTAGGCTATAATATGGAGTTGAATCATCGTAAGAAAGATCCCTGCGAGGCGTCTTTCATATTAGTAGTGCCTTGCCAGCTTTGGAACTCTGACAAAACCACTCCTTTCCTGTTATCTTGTTTTCTGCCTGCGGACAGACGATTAAAGCATTTTGGCCCTCGCTCGGCATACGTAGCAAAAGAATGCCCTAATGACTAAATCATCTCCTTCGTTCTCACGTTTTATTATCGATCTCCGGGTGATCAACTTTGCTCTTGGCTTAATTTGGCTTATTACTTTCCGATACCTTCAACAGACTACCTACTACGACCCGTCTTCATTCTTCTTTCGCTGGGATGCCGCGTATCAGCCGCTTTACTCTGCTGTAAGGGAGCAGGAAGCCGATGCGTTCCTCGCCTCAAGTCAGTCGCAAAAGAGTAGATTATTAAAAGGGTCAGAAGAGAGTCTTGGTTACGCCGCGCCATACTGTATCGGCATCCCAACTCTCCAAAGAGAGCGCGCGCAATTTTTCGCTAAAACAGCAGCGTCCCTCGTCGATACCTTGACAGCCGAAGAACGAAATTCAATATATATTGTTGTTCTTTTATCCGATACCGATGCGACAGTGAATTCAGCATTCGGGCAGCATTGGCTTCATGCAATCGCCGACACCGTTGTGGTTCATGAGGATACGCCCAAGGGCCTAGTTGCTGAAAATGGCTACCAGACGATACCGCGGCATCCCGAATTTGCGGCCAGAGACGAACGAGTAAGACGCGACTACTCTGTGCTCTCTGAAATCTGTCGTCAAAACGACTCCGAATATTTTATCCTAGTCGAAGATGATGTTATTGCTGCGAGAGACTGGCTCCAGCGACTTCAAGACGCAACACCACAAGTAAACGAGCGCGCGGTTGCCAAAGATCGAGACTGGCTTTACCTCAGACTTTTTTACACCGAGACTTATATGGGCTGGAACTCGGAGGAATGGCCTATTTATATACGAAATATTCTCTTGATATACGTGGCCGTATCGGGAGCCATGATTGCCATTCGACATGTCTACCACATGGCGCAGCCCTCTGCCAAAGAGCGAACCTCCAAAGTTTCGAAATTTCTGATGGCGAATATACTTTTCATATGGATGCCCTTATTTATTGGGCTAGGGTTTATGGCTGGTCGGTTAACAGTCAGTCCACTACCGTTCGGCGTCCAAGAGATGCCGCGGTACGGTTGTTGTAGCCAGAGCTTAGTTATACCAAGTCGGCATCTCACCACACTTGAAGAGAAGCTAAAAGAGCCCCCTTTTGACCTTCCTGCTGATTCTACTATCGAAAGGATAGCAGACAGCCTTGAGCTTGACAAGTGGGCGCTTGTGCCTAGTGCCTTTCAGCATATTGGAGCAAGGGGATCGTCAGCCAGAGGAGGCGCTCTTAAGTCGACGTGGAACTTCAGTTTCGAGAGGCTCTATTCAGCATAAATGTCATCCATATATGCATGGTATTTGATTGCATTGGCATTTTTTGATAATATATATAGGATAGAGGGCAAGCGCGGTCTTTTTTTTTTTTCGTTTTATTTGATGTTATTGGAAGCTAGTTATCAGAAACTAAACAAAGAGAACCGCATATACCTCGTTTATGCCACTACTGCGTATGGAGAAAAAAAAATCAAGATGATTCAAAGTTAAAAAAAAAATCATTTTATTAAGACCTTGATGTGACAACCTTGCCGTCGCTATAGCTTTTCGTGTCTACGTGAAATGATGTTCTCACAACTTCAACTTTTGAGATATCGTGAGCAATCAGCGTCTCGGAACTACTACCGTTTTCTTTAACACTCTCTCTGATAATGCATAGCTCATCACTTTTTCTCCCCAATGTTGTTCCAGGACCGGAAATGGATACGACTTGGCGGCCGCGTCCTCCTCCACGCCACAAAGCAGGGTTAGCCGCTTGTCTAGGTAGGCTGGATAGAGCAAAGGTCCCTTTGCCTAGTGCTCTATCGTCTTCATAATTAGAGTTCCTCACACTTGAACCGAAGATATGAGGCAACGTCCGAGCTAATGGCTGCCTGAGAGCAGGAAGACAGGCACCGATAATGCCTGAGTTCGCCTCAATTAACGTCCATATTCCGCGATCGATAAAGCTCCACGTGTTATCGGATTTGTTGGCAAGCGAGTTCTGTACAGACACCGCTCTGAGGATAGATGTGACAGTAACGCTACGGAAAGAGCGTTTAGCAATTAGCATTTATTATAGATGCGCGAGAAAAGGTCAACTTACAATCCACCCATCAAGAAGATGGCGCATATCATCAATTTGTTGCGTATGCACAGCTGAAGCTCCATAATGGGTACAATAGGAAGAGTCAAAACCATGACATCTGTCAAGATGTTCATAACAGCATATGCAATCCAGAATATGTCCGAGTTAATACATTTTGCGTCAACTGTCCTATTCCAGGCACCCGCAATTGGCACACACTGAAAAATCGTTGATGCCACAGCTCCAATGGTCAAAGCGATGATGATTCCCATGACAGTATAGGCAGCGATCTGGAATTTTTGCGTAACAAATATACGCAGGTAGAGCAAGATGGTGGCCACTTTATTGAGGCAAATGGTTACTTTGTAAGGCGTTTGGGCGATAAAAAACCACCGGAGCGCCGTCTCAAGCTCAATGGCGGTGAGGTCAGCTTTATGCATACCGTAACCATTTCCAATTGCAAGCTGAACAGCAACGGAGAGAATGATTGAGAACAGCTAAATTGAAGGAACCAAGTCATTGAAAGATCAGAAAACGTCTATTGCTGTTGAAATTCAGAATATGGCAGAGTTGGGAGGGTGCTCACCAATGAAATGATAATCACAATATCATCAGCACCAAAGTTGTAGAGAGATACTCGGCTTATGCATCTAACAACAACAGCCAACCCAGCAAGTATAATCATCACCAAAGATGTAATGTGCAGCTTCCAGCCATGATTGTCTACTCCGTCAGTAGGGAAGCCCATACCCTTTGGTCCCATCGTGGATTGCTGTTGTGTTGTAACTTCGACTAAAGTTCGGTAACGAGATACATGGCTAGGCAACGAACTTAGCATCCAGGTGCCTAGTCTGTTAGAAACCTGAATTCTGAGACTCTGGTTACAAGTATTGATCCAAAAGTCGAAAGATGAAGGCCGCTCTCCCGAAGAGGAAAGCTGTGTGACTTTCGGATACCTTGAAAGGAGAGCACTGAGCCTGTCACGATAAGCAAACTCCTGGAATTGATAATTTACCGTTGCCGATCACATACGACGTGCTACCCCTTGAGTGCTTGTATCAATGTGAGCGTCAGATGCCATCAATCTCCAGAGAGAAAAAACTCATCCACCGAAGAGCAGCAATGGCATTTTGAGTAACACTACCATCCAGTGCAGCTAGGAAGATTTTGTTTTGTACCAACATATTTAACGCTACTCTCTTAGTCGGCAGATTCAGCTTCAATGGTCTGTGCTATGCTCACAAGATCAGCCTGCAGCTTCAGGCTGTCGGTGGGAACAATAGCAGGTCTGAGCTGCCCAGGTATAACAGCAAGTGGAGCATGCCTCATAACTCGGCGAAATGAGGCAGTCTCTTGTGCTTTTTTTAATGAGGGAATACTGTAGTAGCTGAATAAGGCTGCGTATACTCCATATGAATGCTAATAAATCAGGGACCATCGGTAGAATTCTCACTTTCCTCGCATACACTAGGTCGAGTGGCATTCTGCAATCGTTCTATATGTACTGATGAGAAAAGAGATATGCGTTCAGCCTAGAGGCATATCCACCTCATGTGTTTCTCTTGTTGCGAGAACAGGAGTCCCTTCGCTTCGCATATCAGCAGTATATACCGACTCCGGAACACTCTCACTACAGCTCTACAGGCAATATGGATGAACTAAAAGCAACTCAGTGCTTTTTGTATTGGAGTTAGTCGGAGCACTAAATACGAGGGCTTTCGCTTGTGACGAGATGATTGTCTTACTTGAATTTCTCGGAACATATTCGGCCCCATCCACAGTGCCTGTCAGGGGCTCTTTTGTCTGCAAAGAAAAGTGCTGATGAGAACCGCTTCTACTACGAAGTGGCAGGGCCACGCATTGCTCAGGGAGCTGAACCGGGGCTCCGACTCCATTGTCTCCACTCAGCCAAGAGAGCAACCCAACCGTGCAGTGGTTAGGAAGGATTGTTGGTTCAGAATCATGCAATCATGAGGCTCCGTTGTACTTGTACAAGTGAATTTACGAGAGGGGATACAATGATGCCTCTGTGTCGCCCTGCCCAGAGAGCTCTTCCCCATGCCGGCAATAGACTGACTTGCGTTTACGCACTGCACGACTCATGCGTAGCCGATGAGCTGAGTTAATCGCCAACTCTAATTCTTTTGACAGCGGCTCAGGGACTAGAGGCCAAGGAGCCAGACGCCCAAACAGTCAATAATGCGCTAATTTGACCCCTAGAAAGATGGCTGCCTTACATCTCCGTTGTCCGTGAACCAAAGCCCACTTCAAAGTTATCGCACAATTTTACTAACTTGCGGCTAGTATTCTTAGCTGATGGTATAAGTCGTTGTGTCTAATGAGAAGTAAAATATCTCAAGGAGCACGCGCAGTTTTGTCTTGGACGTACCATATTCCAAGCACCTAATCGGCCCTTGCCTATGACAAATGCTCATACGAGAAAGACTCCTTATTATAGCATTGGGAAGAACAAGGATTAGTACATCTAGTTGTATGTACGCTGGGCCGCCGATGTTGGCTACTAGGATGCTTCCGATGCCGAGGGTACCGGCTCAATTGGTCCTTAGAAGAGCGAGGATTGGTATGCTGCAAGAAACAAACTTCAAAGCAACTGGGAGTTTTGGTAGAAATCGGCATACAAGGGTCTTAGCACCTGCATACGGATGGGCCCATCGTTGCTTCATACTTGCTCTAGCTATATTGATCCGACTACAGAGTACCGCTGTCCAGGATGCAATCATTGCTCAAACATTTTCTTGACTGCAAATTCGCAAGCTTCCGGCGGGGATTGTTTCCGTCTTTTTTTGGAGAATGTTGGCCGATGAATATCCCTGCCAATTGTTTAGGCAAGTCTTCAGGACGCGAGATTTTGCATGCACATCCGAAGTAGGTACTCGCATCAACCAACCAAGGCGAACGCAAAGCGAGCTCTATTTAACCGCATTCTGGAGCTGGGGCCTCCACAGTTGACTCAGATATTATATAGCAATGTTTGTACCTGCAGAAACAGTTGGCGGCGTACTTACTGCATCGGGCTGTAGCTGCGAGCCCTTTAATCTGGTCAAGGGCAATCAACATGGAGTTTAGCAAACGACGGGTGCTGGAATTATCCATGAGCCGCCGTATCCACGCCGCACATCGGACTGGGGTGGGCAAAATCTGGAATCCATGACAAACCAGATATCCGAGAGCTATATATCGATGAAGATACTATGGGCACTCGTTGGCTAACAGCAGGCGCATCAAGCTTCGGCGACTCACCAATACATCTCCGCCCGCCTCAGTTCCACCGCGCCCATGCTTTTCTTCAAGGCCAAGAGCGCGGTCTTGATCCTAAGCGCTGCCACTGCCGCAACTGCTTCCGTGGACGACACAGCATCCACATGTAACACACAGCGGTTCCTCACCGTTTCGACGTCCAACGGCCCAGTTATAGGCCACGCTGCTTCCAACTCAGACTGCGTTATCGAGTACCTAGGCATTCCCTTTGCACAACCACCTGTTGGAGACCTGCGATTCGCGCCACCTGCTAAGATCACGTCCAAGAGTTCTTATGAGGCGACCAATTATGGAGCTGATTGTCCTCTGACGCCTTCAAAGCCTGTGGCCTATCCCGGATTCACGCCTCAAGCGCAGCAGATTGTCAATTATTTCGCCTCGGCCGCAGGCACACCCCAGAGCGAGGACTGCCTTACTCTGAACATTTGGTCGAAGGCGACGCAGAATTCACTGAAGGCAACGAAGCCCGTGCTGGTCTTCTTTTACGGCGGCAGTAAGTAATTTCAATTTTCAAGTAAGAGTTGATAGCAAAGACTCTCAATCACTCACACAAGAGCAGGGTTTACCATTGGAAACACCGATAGCCCTTTTTACACCGGCAAATACTTCGCCGACGCCGAGGACATCGTGGTCGTCACCGTCAACTACCGACTCAATATCTTTGGTTTCCCGGGTGCCCCAGGCTCGACTCAAAATCTCGGGCTCCGCGACCAGCGAGCCGCTGTTGAATGGGTACGCGACAACATCAAGCAATTCGGCGGCGATCCAAACAGGATTACCATCTCTGGCCAGTCCGCCGGTGGTGTGGCGGTAGATTACTGGACCTATGCATACGAGAAGGACCCCATTGTCAACGGTGTCATTGCGCACTCGGGCAACGTTTTCAGCTTTCCCGTCAATGCCCCCGGTGTCCCTGAAAAGAACTGGGATACTGTTGTGGCTGCTGTGAACTGTGCCTCTGCTTCCGATGTCATGGCCTGTATGCGTGAGGCAGATTGGCAAGCTATCAAAGCCGCCGCAGCCGGCATCAAGCCTACACCAAGCACCAGTGTCCTGCGTTCCATTCCTGCGTTCTACCCAATGCCAGATGAGGAGATTGTGTTTTCGGATTATGTCAACTTAACCAGCTCTGGTAGCTTTGCAAAGGTGCCCATGCTGCTGGGAAACAACCATGATGAAGATGGATATTATCGTATCCCTGCCTATGCCGCCGGAATCATACCGACGGATGCCCAAGTCGCGTCTTTTCTCCTCGAGTCTTTCACCTGCCCCGTTTCTCACCAGGCTAGTGCTCGCCGAGCTCATGGCGTGCCAGCCTGGGCTTACCGATACATGGCTGATTGGAACAATACTCGTTTGTACCCTACCAGCGGCGCGTATCATGGAGTCGACCTACACATGATTTTTGGAGCGTCAGCAGATGTCAGTGGCTTGCCTACAACTGCGGACCAGAGGAGTCTGACGAAGCTGATGCAGCACGCCTGGTACTCCTTCAGCAATAATCCATCGTCTGGGCTTAGAAGCATTGGGTGGCCTCAGTTCAACCAGAAAACGGACTCATTGATAGTCCTTGGTCAGAACAATGCTCCCAAAGCACAATTTGTGCACCCGTCAATTTTCAACTCTCCATGCCCCAATGTGACATTAGCAGGTTCAGGAACAGTTGGATCAGCAATAGCAAATTGATTATCACCGCCACAATAAATGTATGGAATGGGAGGCTCAAAATGAATGATACAAGTTATGCTAGATACGTACGACCTATAAATTGATCACGCCAGATTTCCTGATACTAAGAGATTACTTAATTCCACAAGTATATAATCAGGACTGCCAAAACAAAAAAGCTACGTGTAAAAATAGACTACAGTATACATATTCATCGCATACGATAGAGCTATTCCTCGCTGTGAAAAAGGCGCATGGACACGATAAAAAAAGATTTTTCCTAATGCTGGTTATCAATTCAAGCTACTCATTATTATGACAGCTCCAAAAAGGTACGTTAGCTCCATCCTATCAGCACAGCCCACCACGGGAATATCACTTCATTATCACGGATATTATCGGAGCCATGGAACAACCTTGACTCTATGCGCGATATCTGAACCACGATTATGACATAACTGATACCCACTGTGAGATTGAGGGGTAAGTCTTTCAAAACTTTGACTCTGCTCTCGAACCCCTCCTCGTCTTTTCTTCTTTACAACTCATTTTTGCTTCCAAATTGCCAAGCTTTCGATCGCACAAAATAACAATCCCATTGAAAAAATCCATTGGTACGACACGCGTCTACAAGGAGTCATGTCACCTGTCGCAATGGAACTATCCAGCCATCGAGGTAAAGTAGACTGAGCAAGCATCCGGGTGTTCGATCTGCTGTATTGTGTTGTCTCTTTCTTTCTATCTATCTACTCGTTGATGGTCGATTCATTCGATGTCAACCTAGTTTGTAGTATTAGAGAAGAGACAACATGATAAGGCGGATTGATCTGAGAAATACCGGCGAACTTGATCTGGATAATACCAGCGAAAGGATCTGCTTCTTGGGCTTCCCCTGCTCTCCTTGTACCATTTTGCGCAGACTAACCCACGTAGCTTTTTGCTCGATCATCCATAATGTCGACGGATAAGATCACGTTCTTGACGAACTGGTCAGACTTATCCTCGTCAATTGAGTCGGGCCAATTGAGCTAACCAAGACACAGGCACGCTACCCCGTACCACGCACCGCTGTACCTCGCTCAAGCGAAAGGATATTTCAAGGAAGAAGGCATCAAGGTCGCTCTCTTGGAGCCCAATGACCCTAGCGTATGTGACTTGTTCGGTTCTCAACACAATGATACAGAAAACTTATTGTTACTACTAGGATGTTACTGAGATCATCGGATCTGGTAAAGTGGATCTCGGATTCAAAGCAATGATTCATACTCTTGCTGTAAGATTGTCCTCCATCAATGAGTACACTGACTGTTTACTGACAATTATTCAAGGCCAAAGCCCGTGGTTTCCCTGTCCTCTCCATTGGTAGCCTCCTTGACGAGCCATTCACTGGTGTGATTTATCTCAAGGAGTCGGGCATCACCACTGACTTTCGCTCCCTCAAGGGCAAGCGGATTGGCTACGTGGGCGAGTTCGGCAAAATCCAAATTGACGAACTGACCTCTCACTATGGTCTCACTCCAGAAGACTATACTGCCGTTCGCTGCGGAATGAACGTTTCCAAGGCTATCATCACTGGCGAAATTGATGCTGGTATTGGCTTGGAGAATGTTCAGATGGTGGAGCTTGAGGAGTGGCTCGACAAGCAGGGCCGCCCAAAGACAGACGTCCAAATGCTCCGCATTGATGAACTCGCTGAATTGGGCTGCTGCTGTTTCTGCACCATCCTTTACATTGGCAATGAGTCCTTCATTGAGAAGAACCCGGAGAAAGTCCGCGCTTTTCTTCGTGCTGTTAAAAAGGCTACTGACTTTGTGCTTGCTGAGCCGAGCAAGGCCTGGGCAGAGTACATTGACTTCAAGCCCGTGATGGGAACTGAGCTGAACCGAAAGATGTTTGAGCGCAGCTTCGCATACTTTTCCAAGGATTTGAAGAACGTGCAACGTGACTGGAACAAGGTCACCAAGTATGGACAGAGGCTCGGCGTCCTTGATGCCCAGTTCAAGTCCAACTATACCAATGAGTTCCTTAGCTGGGAGCTTGAGGCTGACTCTCAAGATCCTACCGGCGACCAGAAGCGCATGGTTGAACTGCAGTGCGACGTTGCTTGCCGAGGCGGCTTCCGTCGACTTCCACCTAGCATCAAAGCCTAATTTGATCAAGACAGCCTTCAGCCACTCTGGCCGAGCATATGCGTGGTTGCGTCTTCGCTCGTTGTAGACGCATACAGATCTGGCACCTCTACGTTCATTGCTGCCTCAGTCACTCTCTTAGCTGTATAGCTCTCTACCAAAGATAAATAAAATATTGATGCCAGACACAAAACGTTGCTTGATTCCATTTTTGAACGAGGATTTGATGCTGCTACACAATATTGGCCATTGTAAAATTACTCTCCTTTCCGGGTACACGTAGTCGGAGTACCTGCAGCGCCTGATATGTGGAACCATCAAACGGTGTACGTTTCAACATTGAGTAGAAACATCCAGTAAACAATTCAATATCATTCATCTAGAATTTTTAACGTCGGAGCTATATGAGCATACGCGATCTCTCTCGTATGAGGGCAGTCGGGCCAGGCCGCTATTTGCTTATGCTGCTCTGGTAGCGGACCGCGCTTGCAATTATGCTCGGCGCCTTGATAGATGTAGATGACTGTGTAGGCACTTATAGAAGTCTGAGAAAAGTAGAACAAAGGAAACAAGAAAGTTGCGAACGAAATGTGGAAAAGGGTTGGCGTTGAAGCTTGCACTAGGCCTGTACGTTCTTGACAGCTGCCAGCAGCTACTTGACTGCCACTCATATCAAAATACTACCAGCGAAATACCGCTTGACCGCCAATAGCACTATCTTTCATCTATTTACGAATTCTTTCAATCTCATTTGAGGCAGCTCTCTTTGCTCCATTTGCAATCTACGAACAAGACCACATAATATGACGAACACATCTCCGGATGCTGCCTCACATGGCCTCCCGTGGGGAAGGGCTTGTTATCTGAAGCAAACATTCGTTATAAACTAAGAGCCGACAAAAATGCTAGCTTCGCTGCAAGTATTTGCCGTCGTCGCTCGAGAGAATCATGGACGCCAAGAAGTGAGTTACAAGAGCCCATCTTATGCTCTGTTTTTTTCGTATACGGAAACGTCATTGCTAACTGTAATAGATCATAAGCTTCATAAAATTAGAAACATTCAGAAATTTATCCGTTTTCGGTCGCCAGAAGGAGGTTTCCAACGGATTGTTCACGACATACCCGACGAGATAAAGCCTGGTATTCGCTTCCAGTCAAGAGCGTTTGCTGTCCTCCAAGAAGCAATCAAGTCATTTGCAACAACCTACTTCACAAGTAAGTTCTTTGTAATTATATAAATTCTTTATCAGATGATTGTTACATGCAATGCTAACTCCTTAGCTATGAGATTAAACGCCAACCATGCTAATCGCGTTACGATCTGGCTCGAGGATAACAATCTTGTGGACATGTTGCGATCTGGTACCCACCCCACCCATTAGCAAAGAAGAAGTGATATCAGTCACATTGATTCGCCCAACTATGACACCTAGCGCATTTGACAGATTGAGGATATTGCGATTTGGGCAACATAGAAGCCGCGAAGGAGAGATATACTTAAGAGGGGGGAGTATAGGATCACTTGAAAATGATGGCTATATATGATCCATTTTGACAAAACTAGCGGCTATATGGACGAGATCGCTCAAAAAAGACAAAACAGTCCTGTTGACAATCATTGCATTGTGATTAGGCGTGTACATCTTCTGGTCTCGGTTCATCGCTCATCAAATGATATTTAGTACTACTCACAAAACCATTATGGTGCTTTCTCAGCAATTTGCGTTATGCAAGATGGTCTATTGTAGATGTCGCTATAAACGCAGCACTCTCTGGGATTAGCGTCTGGATCACAGCATTCGTTTCTTGGAACAGGAATACATGCGTCTGCCATGGAAGAGTTGTAACAACTCAGATAACTTTAATACTGATACTTGATATTGAGTTGCCTAAAAAAGGTACAAATATGCCAGGAATCGTTACAGACCAACGTTCGTTTAAATCTAGGTACATGATATAAACCACTGAAAAATAACATATTCCACTCTGTAACGATCCGTTATACCGTTGAGCCAACAGGGCAAAAGATTAGGCCAATAACCACTATTGTAGCAGTTACTGTAACGGAACCAGCTGCCATTAAGGGATTCGTAGTTACGGTGAACCAGGTCGTAACACACTCTAGAATCTCAACAGGTAAGTGATATATGTGTAGTAAAAAGGCTGTTTTATTTACAATGATATTCACCGCAAATATGCAAATTGTCAAGATTTGGGATACTTGTATAAGCAATCATCATCAAAGTCAGTCGTATATTCTGTCATAAGCAGTCATTATATACTATATACTTCTAGAAACCCCCCTCCACCTCGTACCTCTCTGTACAATCTATCAAACAAAATCAATCGCGTACATAAGCAAACGTGGTACCCAAGCAAATAAACGAACGAAGAAAAAAAATATTGGGGTATACGATTAAAAAATGAGAAGACTTTTTGGTTACCACGCAACCTTAGCAACAGGTCCGTTAGGGAAGAGTCTAACAATCAACTTGCGGAACTCATCCAGGACCAAAATACCCAGAGCCAGGGGAATAGGAATCAACCAAAACTCAATGGGAACCGACGCCGTGAGGAACAATGTCTGGAGGCCTGGAACCTCAGTAACGAAAATAGCAATGGCAAGACTGATAAGCATGCCGAGGAGCAGCCAGGGGTTGCGACGCTTCTTTGTGAACGGATCGGCTTGAACAATGCTGAGACGGCGGTTGCGCACAGAGAGAATGTTACCCCACTGGAGAATGACAAGGGTAACAAAGTAAACGCATTGGCCGGTGTAGTTGAACTGGTTAAGCTGATCCTGAGTGTAGCCGTGGAAGCCGTCGGTGTAACCCTCGAAAAGGAAGAAGAGCTGGTGAACAGGAATGCCGGCCGCCTTCCACATATAGAAGAAGAACATGGAATGGGCACAGATGGTCTCAGCAGTACCAGTGAAGAGGTATGCTTGGCCGTAGATCTTCAAGTTGATAAGATGGTCCTTCTTGTGGTTTCGAGGAGGCAGCGAAAGGAGATCAAACTCTTCCTTCTCCATAATCAGGGAAAGAGACAGGAACAGATCGGTGAAGACGCAAATCATGATCATGAGGAAGGAGCTCAGCGGAAGAGGAACACCAAAGAAGACGTTGAGAATAACGGGCCAGATCTCAGACCAACTACCGGCAGGGAGCAGGTAGGCAATGACCTTTTGCAGATTTTGGAACACGAGACGGCCGAGACGGATGGCGTCAATGATGGAGTCGAAACGATCGAGCAAGACGAGATCAGCTGCCTCGATGGCAACATCACTGCCAGAGACAATGGCGACGCCGACGTCTGCAGCGCGAAGGGCAGGCGCATCGTTGACTCCGTCACCAGTGACAGCCACAACGTTGTCTCGTTTGCGGAATTCTTCCACGATACGAAGCTTCTGTTCAGGCGTTGTTCGAGCAAAAACAATCTCTTGATATTCACAGACAATACTCCAATCCTCATCAGAGAGACTACCAAGACTCTGTCCCTCAAGGAGAAGACTGCGGCATTCACCAGCAATGCGGGCCTCATTGAGCTTCTTAACGGCATCGGCGTCGTTGTTAGCCTTGATGGTGGCGATAGTATCGGGATCTCTCTCGCTAGTAATGATGCCGACGTTGCGAGCAATAGCAGCGGCAGTGAGGCCGTAGTCACCAGTAACCATGAAGAATCTAGTTCCAGCACGGCGACACTCTTGAACAGTGCTGAGGGTCTCCGGGCGAGGGGGGTCAGTGATACCAAGAATGCCGACAACTGTAAGATCTTCGGTGGCTCGGCTAGTGACTTCATCGCCAAAGTGGTTGGTGCCAATGGGTTCGTCGACAGTCATGTTTTTCATGCAGAGAACAATAACACGCTCAGCGTTCTTGGACAACTTGTCTTGGTATTCCTTGAAGGCAATCTTTGCGGGGCCGTCGAGGGGCATAACACACTTTGACTTGCGAGACCAGTAGGCTGTGCAGGATGGCAGGAGGACATCGGGGGCTCCCTTGACGAAAACTTGGAACTCGTTGGTCGCTTGGCTCTCAGAGGGGATTTTGTACATTGTAAGCATCCACTTGTTCTTGGAGTTGAAGGGAATCTGGAAGACCTTGGTGGGTTGGTCTGCTGCCTTCTCGTTGCTTGTAGGAGCGCCAGCAGAGAATCTGAGAACAGCACCGTCTGTGGCGTTGCCTTGGATGGTACGAGAGGCAACGGGGAGGTGAAGAGTGGATGGCTCAAACGTGGCATCGTTGCACAGAGAAGCAGCCTGGTGAAGCTTCTTCATTCCAGCATCGACTTTGTCGCTAGAGAGACTGTTGTAGAGGTCCTGAATAGCAATAGGCTCGTCGAGGAAGGCGATGGAGTTGACATGCATTTGATTCTGGGTCAAAGTGCCGGTCTTATCAGAGCAGATAACATTGACACAACCCAGCGTCTCAACAGTAGAAAGACCCTTGGGCAAAACATTGGAAGCCTTCATGCGTCTCGCCACCATCATAAGAGTCAGCGCAACCGCGACAGGCATACCCTCGGGAATGAAAGCGACGACACATCCCATGACATTGTTGAGCATGGCCACAACGTTCATGTAATCGGGATGATCTTTGCGCAGCCATCCAAGCCATGTGAAGAGGATGATGAGAGCGAGAACAATGGTCAGGCCAACAATAATGTAGACAAATCGGGTGATTTCTTTCTGGATGAGAGTTGGTCGCTCTTCTGCTGATGCAGTGGCCTTTGCAATACGACCCATGACGGAGCGAGGACCAGTCAGAACAACGACTCCAACACCGCTGCCGTTGACCACTAGAGTACCCATCAGAGCAATGTTGCGACTCTCCAGGAAGTTTTCTTCCGTCTGGTCAACCGAAGCATCGATTTCATCAGACTCTCCGGTCAAGATGGCACGATCAAAGCGAAGGTCTCCAGAATGGTTGATGATACGCATATCCGCAGGCACCTTGTTGCCAATCTGCAGGTGGACAATATCTCCGCTTACAAGTTCAGTAGCCTTGAGTTTCATCAGCTGGCCATCACGACACACCAGAGCATCTGAAGGCAGGAGATCGATGATGGAATTCATAGTACGCGAAGTAGACCAGTCCTGGAAGGCAGAAAAGCCAGCCTGAAGGACAATGACGATGAGGACAAGGATAGCGAGAGCCAAGTTTGTAGGAGAAGGAGGATTGCTCAGGGGGCGCCAGCAGATGAAGAAGATGACGACGCCCACCCACAGAACGGAACAGAAGCCGCCGAAGACGTACATCAGAAGCTTCTTCAGATAGTTCGGTTTGGGGTGAGGGAGCGTGTTTTTGCCATCTCGTTGAATTCTCAGTGCAGCAGCACTCTCCGACAAACCCATCTCCTGAGAGACATTGAGCTGTTGGCAGAGCTGATCAACTTCGAGCTCATGAAAAGTCAAGTTGGAGAAGTACTCCTCCTTGTTGTCCTTCTTCTCCTTGATATCAGGCAAGTTATCAGAATCGACTTGGCGAGATTCGGAGACGTGAATGGACAAGGTACGATATTCAATCTGGACTCCAGAGTAAGGCGAAGAGGGCAGATCGCGACGGCTATTGACCGAACCGCGACTCATAGACCTCTTGCGAGACAAAGGCAGACCCTGCTCGCGGTCATTCGTATGGGTGCGGCCAACACGGCCTGATGGATGTGTAACATCGTTAAAGGTGATGCGGAGGTCGTTGGCTTCCTTTTCGTCCGGCTCGGGGGCAATGTTTTCAGGCATGATTGAAATTGAAGAAAGGGGGTAAAATTGAAAAAAGAAGTATTCAAAAAAAGAAAATGAACTTTTGATTTTTTTTCAAGTCTTCTTGGGCAACTTTGATTGAAACAAGCCAGACAGGGGGAGGGACAGAGAGCCACGTATAAGCCAACTGACCGTCTTTTTCTTTTTTTTTTCCCACAGCAAGTTTTGATACAAAGCGAAGAAGAGCTTGATGGAAGGAGGAAGAGGAAAAGGAGGTGAAAGAAGTGTGAACCTGAAGTAAGTGAAAAAAAAAAGCAGAGGACTAGAGGCCGGCTTTATGCACAACTGAGTCTGAGCGGTCAGGACAGACAAAAATTTTGACCCAGACAGCTGGGCTATGATACCAATAGCACCTGCATGCAGCTCAACTACGTGAGGGATTCAATTCCTACACCCTTTGGGCCCCCTTGTCGCCACCACAGCATTCAGCTTGAACCAAATAAAGCAAACACGTTCCCACGCCCTAGGCTAGGGTTTGGGGTTGTCCGCGATAACTCTGGCCCCCCCAGGCCAGGCCATGATAGGCAAGGCAATAACTACATCCATAACAAAAAAGCTACATACTGATAGGGCGCAGTACTGCGTACACGCACACTACATGATATTACCTACAGATGCAAATACATGGCCATGTATGGAGGTGGTATGTCGACAACGCAGCGTCCCAGCTCTGTCACTCACACACACCCCCATGTATAGACGGAAAAAAAGGGGGGCGTGTCGAGAAGAGAGAAGGGCAAAGCAAGGTATTTCGTAAGTGAAATAACGTATATTC